ATGCTTCACGGTTGGGATGGTGTTCTTGGGGTTGTACTCATCCTTCTTCTTCCTCCAAACACAGCGAGTGGAGTTTAGACCAAAAAGCTCTATTTCTGTCTCATCAGACCACATGACCTTCTCCCATTCATCCTCTGGATCATCCAGATGGTCATTGGCAAACTTCAGACGGGCCTGGACATGCACTGGCTTGAGCAGGGGGACCTTGCGTGCACTGCAGGATTTTAATCCATGACGGCGTAGTGTGTTACTAATGGTTTTCTTTGAGACTGTGGTCCCAGCTCTCTTCAGGTCATTGACCAGGTCCTGCCATGTAGTTCTGGGCTGATCCCTCACCTTCCTCATGATCATTGATGCCCCACGAGGTGAGATCTTGCATGGAGCCCCAGACCGGGGGTGATTGACCGTCATCTTGAACTTCTTCCATTTTCTAATAATTGCGCCAACAGTTGTTGCCTTCTCACCAAGCTGCTTGCCTATTGTCCTGTAGCCCATCCCAGCCTTGTGCAGGTCTACAATTTTATCCCTGATGTCCTTACACAGCTCTCTGGTCTTGGCCATTGTGGAGAGGTTGGAGTCTGTTTGATTGAGTGTGTGGACAGGTGTCTTTTATACAGGTAACGAGTTCAAACAGGTGCAGTTAATACAGGTAATGAGTGGAGAACAGGAGGGCTTCTTAAAGAAAAATTAACAGGTCTGTGAGAGCCGGAATTCTTACTGGTTGGTAGGTGATCAAATACTTATGTCATGCAATAAAATGCAAATTAATTACTTAAAAATCATACAATGTGATTTTCTGGATTTTAGTTTTAGATTCCATTTCTCACAGTTGAAGTGTACCTATGATAAAAATTACAGACCTCTACATGCTTTGTAAGTAGGAAAACCTGCAAAATCGGCAGTGTATCAAATACTTGTTCTCCTCACTGTATGTGAGAATGCTGTTCATTGACTACAGCTCAACGTTCAACACCATAGTGCCCTCCAAGTTAATCACCAAGCTAAAGACCCTGGGACTGAACACCTCCCTCTGCATTGGATCCTGGACTTCCTGACGGGCCGCCCCCAGATGGTGAGGGTAGGCAACAACACATCCGCCACGCTGACCCTCAACACGGGGGCACCTCAGGAGTGCGTGCTTAGTCCCCTTCTGTACTCCCTGTTCACCCACATCTGCATGGCCGCTCACGACTCCAACACCATCATTAAGTTTGCCGACAACACGACGGTGGTAGGCCTGATCACCGATGACGATAACACAGCCTATAGGAGGTCAGAGACCCGGCAGTGTGGTGCCAGGACAACAACCACTCCCTCAACGTCAGCAAGACAAAGGAGCTGATCGTGGACTACAGGAAACAGAGGCCCAAGCACGCCCCCCATTCACATTGACAGAGCTGTAGTGGAGTGGGTTGAGAGTTGTCCACATCACTAAGGACCTACAGTATCAAGGTCCAAACACACCAACACAGTCGTAAAGCGGGCACGACATCACCTCCTCCCCCTCACGAGGCTGAAAAGATTTGGCATGGGCCTTCAGATCCTCAAAAAGTTATACAGCTGCACCATTGACAGCATCTTGACTGGCTGTATGATTACTTGGTATGGCAACTGCTTGGCATCCGACCGCAAGGCGCTACAGAGGGTAGTGCATATGGCCCAGTACATCACTGGGGCCTGGCTCCCTGCCATCCAGGACCTCTATACCAGGCGGTGTCTGAGAAAGGCCCTAAATATTGTCAAAGACTCCAGCCACCCAAGTCATAGACTGTTCTCTTTGCTTCCGCACGGCAAGCGGTACCGGAGCACCAGGTCTGGGACCAAAAGGCTCCTGAACAGCTTCTACCCCAAGCCATACGACTGCTGAACAGTTAATCAAATGGATACCCTGGCTGAACAGTTAATCAAATGGATACCCTGACTATTTGCATAAACCCCCTTTTTATTCGCGCTGACTCTCTTGCACCGGCTCTATGCACACTCACTTGACTCTACCCACACACTCACACATACTACAATGACAATCCAACACGTAAATATATACACACACACACACTACATATGCTGACACACACAAAACAAACACACACACACATGCATATTGACGCCACACACACATAGACACACATACACACACACTATTTCACACTCTTCAGTGAAATTAGCCCCACCTGTTTTGAGCCCCACCTTTTAAGCTTAAAAAATATATATACAGGGCCTGTCAATAGTTTGGACACACCTACTCATTCCAGGGTTTTTGTTTATTTTTACTATTTTCTACATTGTAGAATAATAGTGAAGACATCAAAACTATGAAATAACACATATGGAATCATTTAGTATCCAAAAAAGTGTTAAACAAATCAAAATATATTTGAGATTTGAGATTCTTCAAAGTAGCCAACCTTTGCCTTGATGACAGCTTTGCACACTCTTGGCATTCTCTCAACCAGCTTCATGAGGTAGTGACCTGGAATACATTTCAATTAACAGGTGTGCCTTGTTAAAAGTTAATTTGTGGAATTTATTTCCTTCTTAATGCGTTTGAGCCAATCAGTTGTGTTGTGACAAGGTAGAGATTGGTATACAGAAGATAGCCCTATTTGGTAAAAGACCAAGTCCATATTATGGCAAGAATAGCTCAAATAAGCAAAGAGAAACGACAGTCCATCATTACTTTACGCAGTTCCCACATATGCTGAGCACTTGTTGGCTGCTTTTCCTTCACTCTGGGGTCCTACTCATCCCAAACCATCTCAATTGGGTTGAGGTCGGGGATTTTGGAGGCCAGGTCATCTGAAGCAGCACTCCGTCACTCTCCTTCTTGGTCAAATAGCCCTTACACAGCCTGGAGGTGTGTTGGGTCATTGTCCTGTTGAAAAACAAATGATAGTCCCACTAAGCCCAAACCAGATGGGATGGCGTATCACTGCAGAATGCTGTGGTAGCCATGCTGGTTAAGTGTGCCTTGAATTCTAAATAAATCACAGACAGTGTCACCAGCAAAGCACCCCCACACCATAACACCTCCTCCTCCATGCTTTACGGTGGGAAATACAAATGCAAAGATCATCCGTTCACCCACACCGCTTCTCACAAGGCCACAGCAGTTGGAACCAAAAATCTCCACTTTGGACTCCAGACCAAAGAACACATTTCCACAGGTCTAATGTCCATTGCTCGTGTTTCTTGGCCCAAGCAGGTCTCTTCTTCTTATTGGTGTCCTTTAGTAGTGGTTTCTTTGCAGCAATTCGACCATGAAGGCCTGATTCACACAGTCTCCTCTGAACAGTTGATGTTGAGATGTGTCTGTTACTTGAACTCTGTGAAGCATTTATTTGGGCTGCAATTTCTGAGGCTGGTAACTCTAATTAACTTATCTTCTGCAGCAGAGGTAACTCTGGGTCTTCCATTCCTGTGGCGGTCCTCATGAGAGCCAGTTTCATCATAGCGCTTGATGGTTTTTGCGACTGCACTTGAAGAAACGTTCAAAGTTCTTGAAATGTTCCGTATTGACTGATCTTCATGTCTTAAAGTAATGATGGACTGTTGTTTCTCTTTGCTTATTTGAGCTGTTCTTGCCATAATATGGACTTGGTCTTTTACCAAATAGGGCTATATTCTGTATACCAACCCTACCTTGTCACAACACAACTGATTGGCTCAAACGCATTAAGTTTTAAGAAGGCACACCTGTTAATTGAAATGCATTCCAGGTGACTATCTCATGAAGCTGGTTGAGAGAATGCCAAGAGTGTGCAAAGCTGTCATCAAGGCAAAGGGTGGCTATTTGAAATATATTTTGATTTGTTTAACACTTTCTTGGTTATTACATGATTCCATATGTGTTATTTCATAGTTTTGATGTCTTCACTATTATTCTACAATGTAAAAAATAGTAAAAATACAGAAAAACCCTTGATTGAGTAGGTGTGTCCAAACCTTTGACTGGTAGTGTACATTCCTAAATGTTATTACACAGCTTTTAATAGGCCCTAAATTACATAATAACCAAAAAAGGCTATTATTCACTGAATATAGAGAGACAGCATGCTAACCTATAGGCCCTGCATGATTCCAATGCATTTATAAACTACAGCAGTAGAAATTCTGTTCGGGCTAGTAGATTTTTTGCCAACTTGCCCTTCCGGGCCAGTGAAAGAAAAAGTTCACGTTGGACCCTGCATCGTATTTGAAGCTGTACATCCCAAAATACTGCTGCGTGTAGGTGTGACTCTCCCCACCAGGGGGCAGAGTGAGTGAGTGAGTGAGTGAGTGAGTGAGTGAGTGAGTGAGTGAGTCTGTCTGGACAATGTGGAATGCTGCTGTACCGGTCTGTTCCCCCCAGCTCCAGGGTTTGTTATTTGTGAAGAAAGCAGTGTTATGGGGAACAGCAATGATGTCATATATACAAAGTAGACTAGATATCTGACGTATGTTTCCGAAGACGATGGATATACTGTATTTGATGTCTGTGGGAAATGGGCATTGACTCTCTCTCTCTCTCTCTCTCTCTCTCTCTCTCTCTCTCTCTCTCTCTCTCTCTCTCTCTCTCTCTCTCTCTCTCGTATGCTGAGTTCCTCCACTGTAAGGGAGAGATGTTTTCAGACTTTCAGAAGGTTCATCAGGAGATCGAAGCAGAGACAGTGAGACTCACTGGAACCAATAAGGGCGTCTCTCCTGTCCCCATCAACCTATGAGTCTATTCCCCTCATGGTACACAACAGACACATCACAGTGTACTACTCTTACATGCTCCCCAGAAGGTGACACACCCTATATCTCAACCCAAACCAGATGCTTAAATGCATGAAAAACAGGAAGTGAAAACGTTGTAAATCTATCTGTCTGTCCTTTGATAGTGTTGAACCTGACCCTGGTAGATCTACCTGCCTGCTGATATAGAGTACACATAGAGACACATCACACATTTATTATAATCCTTCCTTAAATATATAATAAATAAAGTTGTTTTGTATTTGTTCCTGCAGGTGAGGGACATGATCATGCAGTTTATCTGTAGAGACAACTGTCTGGTCCTGGCTGTTACTCCAGCTAACATGGACCTGGCCAACTCTGATGCGCTCAAACTGGCCAAGGACGTCGACCCTCAGGGTGAGACCAGACAGGGACACAACATGTCTCCCTGCAGAACATTGCCAAATGGTCCAAATAATCACTACATTGGAATATCATTTGACTACATGATGAGAGGTACTATTTTACTTTCTTTGTCATTGTTTTCCACCAGGCCAGCGGACAATAGGGGTGATCACTAAGTTAGATCTGATGGACGAGGGAACAAATGCCCGGCACATACTGGAGAACAAGCTACTGCCACTATGCAGAGGTACGTGTGTGTGTGTGTATGGAGATAATATACCCATGACATTCTCATAATGTTCTCATAACGTCCCCAGAATTTTCCCATAACGTCCCCATAAAATCCCTTTTATGGAATAAGTTAGGTCAGAGCCATCTATTTAGAGAGTTCGGCAAGGTTTTAGAACGGCCGCCATGTTAGCACCTTTATTCTCCAAATGTTGGTGCTGTAACAATAGGAGAGCGCCTCCAACAGTTCCCTATGGAATGACCCGCTGTAAACAAGCAAAAGAGAGCAGCGAATTTAGCATTTGGGATAATGTGTATCCAATTCTGTACTGTGTTGTGGTGTCAACAAATTGCATATCTGCTTTCACTAGACATCTTCACAGGTTTTAAAAACTATCAGAAATAAACAGCACAACGCGGAAGCATCAATTATCACTTAGCAATGGCTATGGAGGAGAAAGTTGCACTCTCAGAGCGTTCAGACAGAAACCGCATTGGCCCAACTCTCTAAATATATGACTCTGGCTTAGGTAGGTTAGTGTAAGGAGCATAATTACACATTACAATACACTACACTTCCACACGCCATCCCCAGGTGGTAGCACCAACCAGGTCAGGTGATTGTGCTCTGCCAGGAAGCCTTGATAATTCCTCAGGTGCAAGCGATGTAGAGGATTTTGACTCAGTGTGAGAGAGGAGGGCAGAATCCTTTCAGCCGGCCTTTGTTTGTTTCTTTGTGTTAATTAACCTCTTTAGTTGGGCATGCCTTTCTGTAGTTTGGTTTTTGTACATATGTATTTTGTCTCCATGAACGTATGAATACTAATCTGCTTGGACTGGCTGATTATGGGAGTCATGACTGAGTAGGCCCTGGACCTAAGGTAAGGTGGCTGTCTAATGGGTACATGGACATTCAACACCTGGTCGCATATGCTTATATCTCACATTTATGCACACATCAAATCAGGTTACAGACCATGTAGCTAGGCCTAAGACCCCTAGACATAACAAGTGCAGCAAAATCAGTAGGCTAGTCAATGGTTTCGTAACAATCCCCATAACGTCCCCAGAATGTTCTCATAACATCACCATAATGGTTCCATAACATCACTGTAACATTCCCATAACATCTCCATAACGTCCCCATAATGTTGTCATAACGTCCCCATACTGTTCCCATAACATCCCCTTAATTTCCCCATAATGTTCCCATAACATCACCAGTGACCAGGCTGTGCTGAGGTAAGTGTTGAAATGGAGGCTTGATGTCCTACTGCCATGCTGAGCTCATGGGGTTGTGTTACAGTATTACAATCAGTGGCAGCCTGCCCCGGGATAGTGTGTGTGTGCCCGGGTCAGGGTCTAGGCTGGGTAAAGCTGTGCCAGGTCCTTCATGCTTGCTCCTTCAGAGGTAATGCATTAGACATGGAGCCTACTGTTAGTGCTGCTGTTACAGTAGAGAGATGAGATTTGAGCTGCCTGAATGAAACATCTGCTGGCCCTGCTGAAATCAGAGGACCTTCTGAATCTGAACCCTGCCCTCCAGAGATGTATTGGATTGTAAATCATGGAGACACAGTTTACACACATTTTACTCCTCCTCTCCTCTCCTCTCATCTCCAGGTTACATTGGGGTGGTGAATCGTAGTCAGAAGGACATTGATGGGAGGACGGGCATTAAGGCAGCTCTGGCTACAGAGAGGAAGTTCTTATTGTCTCACCCTGCATACAGACACATGGCTGACAGCATGGGTACCCCGCATCTACAGAGAATCCTCAACCAGGTACACAAACACACACCCACACACACCATGTGGATATCTTTTGAAACTAGCCAGAGATCAAATTAGATGTTTCTTTTTGTGTGTGTGTGCAGCAACTGACCAACCACATCGGAGACAGTCTGCCAGCGTTCCGCAGTCGTCTCCAGAGCCAGCTCCTAGTGCTGGATAAAGAGGCTGAGGAGTACAAACACTATAGAGTTGACGACCCCGCACGCAAGACCAAGGCCCTGCTACTGTCAGTTCAGACACACACACACACAGATTATAAAACAATGCATGCAAGACCAAGTTAGCAGTGTGTATTAAGTTAGCTGTGTGTGTGTGTACAGGCTGATGCAGCAGTTTGCAGCAGACTTTGAGAAGCGTTTCGAGGGCTCAGGAGAGCAGGTGGACACTATAGAACTGTTTGGAGGAGCCAAGATCAACTGCATCTTCCACGAACACTTCCCCTTCGAACTGGTCAAGGTCAGGCTGGGGGTCTCTGTGCGAGTCTCCACTCTTTTCCTCAGTGTGTGTCACCTCCTCTTACTGTGTGTGTAAGTTGATAGAGCATGGTGTTTGCAACGCCAGGGTTGTGGGTTCGATTCCCACGGGGGGCCAGTATAAAAAAATATGTATTCACTAACTGTAAGTCGCTCTGGATAAGAGCGTCTGCTAAATGACTTAAATGTAAATGTAATATGTTTTGTCTCTAGTTGGGTTACTTTCCCAGACTGCGAGAGGAGACGGAGATAATTGTGACCACACATATCCTGGACAGAGAGAGTCGAGGTAAAGACCAGGTCACTCACACACATACACACACACCCCTATAGATAGGTATAATATTGTGACTGTGTGTGTGTGTGTGTGTTCTCTGTACAGGTCCTACTGCTAATCGATGTACAGTCGGCCTACATCAACACTAACCAGGAGGACTTCATTGGCTTCGCTAAGTGAGTTCTCCCTGGTGAGTTATCCCTGGTGAGTTCTCCCTGGTGAGTTCTCCCTGGTGAGTTCTCTCTGGTTAGTTCTCCCTGGTTAATTCTCCCTGGTTAGTTCTCACTGTCTATGTTTTCTGGTCATCATCATATGTGTGTTGGACATGATGATTAAATGGAGAAAAATGGTTGACTGTGTGTGTGTGTGTGTGTGTGTGTGTGTGTGTGTTTGTCCCAGTGCGCAGCAGAGGAGTGTTCAGACCAATAAGAATAGCGTTGCAGGAAACCAGGTGAGTTTCACACAGCTCAGTGACTTTATATTAGGTGATGAATGGCTTGGGTTTTACTCTCTAATGCTAATACGTGTGTTATGAGAAGTTAACAAATGTTTACAACTGGACTGGACTGGCAACTGAACTGGACGTTTACTGTATGTAGAAGGAACAGGTGAAACTGCCTGGTAACAGTAATGTTGTGTCAGCTCCATCCTAACCTCCCTGTTCTTTCTTCTCTCTGTTGTCTCCTGTTCCAGGGTGTGTAACCTCCCTCCAGTCTAATAATAGGAGCAGTCCAGTCTCTGTGAGGCTAAGCCCTCACTACTCCCACTGGGAAACTGTTTGTACCTCTCACTGGTCGTCGCCTGTTCACCAACCTCTTTAAACCCACAGCTCCACAGCTCTCTTTTCTACCGCTTTTCCACAGGCTGCACTCTTTGCCTCTACTCCTTTTGGCTGCACTCTACTCCATTTGTGTTTGTGTGGACGCCCGTGTGTATGTGTACGTGTGTGTAAGCAGCACAAAATGGCGCTGAGTTGTAAACTTGGCTCAGATCCTAGCCCAGCTGTCTGGTCACTCACTTAACACAAGCACAGACCCTGGTCTGCTACACAAGGGAGAAATGGAGGTGCGTGCGCGTGCTCATGTGTCACCGCCCTGGTGTGTCTCCAGTGTGTGAAGCAGGATGTGGGTCATCTCTCCTCTCTCTGCCATCTCATCCTTCCGTATCTCTTCACTTTCTCTCCCTCCACCTCTCTATGCCTCATCTTCAGCCACCTCATCCCCCATTCTCTCACTTCCTCCTCACTTCTCTTTCATCCTCTGTCAAATGTGTCCCTTTTTAGCTGTCAGCTCTTTTCTTCCTTCCTGTTCTCTCTTCCTGTCCTCCTCACTGCTCTCTCTCCCAGTCGTATCACTGAGCTCACAGTTTCTCTCTCCCACTGTTCTTCAAAAGCTGTGTTTTTCTGTATTTCTTTGTACTATTTTACCAAACTGTACCTTCCATGTCTTCTTTATCATTTCTAATGTTTTTTTCCCCCGTCATGCTCTTTGTGTGTTGTTCAGAGAAATATGGTAAAGGCATGGGCAGAAATTACCACTAGTGATTTAATGACTGGCTAGGTGAGGGGACATTTAACTTTTCTGACTGATCCTTGTTGTCTCAACAGCTGATATCTCTGTGCATGCATTACGGTATCCCACTCAATCTCTATGCATGTATATGAATCTCTGTCTGTGCATGTAGCATGCAGTATCTCTGCTCTCTCCCACACTGTGACCCATATGTAAGATACATCATCACACCATCTCTCTCTTTCTCCAGCTCCACAGAACCTGCACCTGCCTCTCTCGATCTCTAAACCCCCCAGCTCAGAGCCAGGGTGCAGAGCAGAGCACTACAGGGATAGTTCACCCAGACCACATATTTGCTTCTCTATTTACAGCATGGTAACATGACTCTTACCACTCCCATTGTTTTAGCTTAACGATGATAATGCTAGGCTATAGCTAAGTAGACATACAAACCCAGATCGTAGCTAGCTGACATTAGGGGTTCATAGCCTACTGTCTTTGTATCCATGAGATGATGTAACTTTGTAATTTGAGTGAACTATACCTTTAAGCCCTCCCACCTTAACCTCCCTCAGTCCCTCCCCATGCCCCTGACATCACCCCTGACTTCTGACCTCTCTCTACAGGTCATCCGTAAGGGCTGGCTTACCATCAACAACATCAGTATCATCAAGGGCGGGGCCAAGGAGTACTGGTTCGTCCTGACTGCTGAGAGCCTGTCCTGGTTCAAGGATGACAAGGTGAGCACAGAGTCACTGATCTGGTCTGGTGATGAGACTACTGAAGCTGCTAAAGGTTTACTACCGAGGCTTACTAAAAAAACACACCTGAGTACCCCAGAACAACACACACTCCTTTATTACACACACATTTCTGTTAGGTACAAAACATCTCCAAATACTACTGTCTTATGCAGTAAGGGAAGGGAGATTGGAATACAGGGAAAGTAGAAAAGACATGGGCAGCTAAAGTTAGATTCATCATCATCAAGCATGAAGTCTGGGGTGTACTGGCTGGCGTTGGCTGTGGGAGCTGTCCATCAGGCTGTAGGTGCGATGTGGTTGGTCCGTGGGTCAGTGGGGCGGCTGCCATCTGTCTGCCTGTCTGTGCCTGCTGTACAGGATAGGAAGGTCTGCACAGCAAGTGTAGACAGGCAGACACAACACAACACTCTCTCTCAGCCTAGCACAGCACTGCTCGCTCATGATGTCCACAGACTGTGTGTTTGTCGGTGTGTGTTTGAGTGTGTGTCTTGGGATGGGCTGGGCTGTAACTTAGGTAACTCAAATGCACACATGTAAGTACAGTACTGGCCCAATACTACTTCAACTAAGTCCCCCTATTCCCTCCCTCCCTCCCTCCTCCATCCACTCTTCCCCCTGCTTCCTCCTCTGGGAGTTGAGGCATTTGGAGCAGTTCACTCTGACACAGCTGGAGCCAAACCAACACACACACACACACACACACACACACACACACACACACACACACACACACACACACACACAGACACACACACACACACACAACTCCTTAATAATTCATTTATCGCCAATCCTAGTCCACTCACATGGGTATGAAACCAACTATTATCTCAGTAACATAGTCTCTTCTAACAGCGGTGTGTCTGACAGCACTACTGAAAGGAGAGCTACTAGCAGCCTGGCTGGTACAGGAGGTTCTAGTGCCAGGTTAACATAACCCCTCTGCTCTGCTATGCCTTCTCTTTGACAATATTACCCACTACAATATTAGACTTTACTACACAGATTATACTTCAGTGTAGTTACAGGTATGCTAGGAAAGGTGTGATAATCTCTGGTGAAATAGTAATCATAACTCTTTCTTTTTCAAAGGGAAACGGGGTAGACTGACAAAAGATGTCAACCTCTTTTCCCTTTCAGAATAGGGGAGAGTGAGGTAAGTTGAGCAGAAGGGGTAAGTTGAGCCACCCTTGTTTCTAGGAAACCATACACAAAATGAGTCATTTGACCAAATATTTACGAAGAGGTCATAATTTCATGGAGTCTGTGAAGGAAGAAACCACATGGAAAAAGTGGTAAGCAAGTTAGGTCCAAAAAACAGATTTTCACCAAGTCAAATGAATGTATTGTGTTAGAGGTTTCATGATGCTTGTATCTAAACGAAAGTACATACTTTCAAGATTGTTCTATACATCAGTCGTGGTCTCTATAAGCTTCAATATGAGGTCTTAAACCTAGCATGACAGTGCATCTTGTAGCTATAGTCAAAATATTTGCCTTGGGGTAAGTTGAGCCAATGGGTGAGCCAATGACAAGATGAGCAAATTAAAGAGTTTTCTTCCCAGGCGTAATGCAAGGCATTATCACTGGGATATGAGGTAACAACAGGGCCTGGCCTATGTTAAAACTGTTTAAAAAAAGTACAAAGTGTTTGTTAGCTGTTAAGCCTATGTTAAAATATGCTTAAAATTATTAAAATACAAAAAAGCTATTGTGATTGTGTTGATTTGTGTTTGGGAAATAAAGATAGATATGGTTTTAAAAAGGTAGAGGTAAAGTATAATTCAGTACAGACATTTGTAGACGGCTTAACTTACCCTGTCCCGCGGCTCAACTTACCCCATACCCCGGACAAGCTATGTTTTCAAAACTGTAATGTTTACATGAATTCTGATTTTCCAGGGATACACAACATCCTGAAATATACAGTATGTAGATATCTTTGTTAGAAAGAATACTAAATGTCCCTTGACGGAGTGATGCTGAATGTTAAAAATGGCTCAACTTACCCCACTCTCCCCTACTGTTAGTTCAGGAGGAACCCTGTGTTCTCTCCATGCCCCTTGTGTGTAGTAAATGATCCTTACTATCACAGCTATGTCACCATGCTGCCCCAACACCACTGTAGGCCACAAACACACTCCTCTCAGAGTTAGACCCAGGCCAAGCTTCTCTCTCGCAAAGCCTACTGTTTCCATCCACTGTTTCCCCCTACTTTCTCCACAAAGTTTTCTAGTTTTCTTTCCCCATTCCCCTCCCACACTTTTCCCCCTCTCTTTTCTTTCTTTCTCTGGCCCTCCTTCTCTAATTCCCCCCCCCCCTCTGTCCTTCTCTTTCCCTACCTTTTCCCGCTTTCTCCCTCCTATTCCCCCTCTCTCTTTTTCCCTTTCCTTCTCTCACTCTCTCCCTCCCTCTCTCTCTCTCTCTGGTTGGCAGTCTCTCTGGGCCTGTACACATTCCTGGCTGGAGAACTCAAGGTTTAGTCCAAACACCCGCTTAGCTTCCAACATCTATCCTGAGAAATCCCACATGGCTGCTTCTACACCTCCCCCTCCTCCCTGTTCTCCCCCCTCAGACTCCCACTCACAACTCAATGTCCTCCCTCATCTCCCCCTTCCACAAATACTGATCACCTAGCCAAACCACTAGACTTCAGACTCCCTTTCTCTCTCTCACGCTCTCTTTTTCTCCATCTCATTCAATCATTTCTCACCACAGTATGGTCACACTTAGTTATTTTCCTCACATAAACACACAAATACACAAACTGTACCCACTCACAGACACAAACACAAACTCCCTCCCATATTTGCTGCTCACGCTCTCTTAATCTACACAATGGTTCCTAATCTACACACCAAGACAATAAGTATAGACTCTACTCTCCATACATTTAATCTAGACATAATGTATACACACTCATCTCCACACACTAATCAGTGTATAATCGCTTAAAACAGATGTACATTCCTCCCTCCCTCCCTCCCTCTCTCCCTGCCTGAGGCCTGACGTGCAGCCTGAGGAAAAACAGATGACCTACGCCCATACACTCACCCTATACACTAGGGCTGGGAATTGCAAGGGACCTCACCATTCAATATTAGCACGATACTTAGGTGCCGATACGATATGAATTGCCATTCTCACGATTCTCTATTTTATTGCAATCCGATGTTCCAAACATATTGCTCACCATGTCTGCTGCAGAGAGACACGAGAGAGCATGAGGAAACAAGTTTTGATCTCTCATGGAAATAAAAGAGCTGAAAACATGTTGGCTCTGTATTTATAAGGAAGATGGCGAACAAGCTATAGGATGAAAAATACCAGAGTTTTGGCTCCGGTACAGCCGACTAGCGGTAGCTAATGCTACCTAGTAAAAAAAAAAGCATTGATATTTGGAGTCAAAGTATCAATATAATATCGTAAAAAAATATATTGCGAGATATAACTGTATGGATTTGTCCCCCATCACTGCTATACACACACTCCCATACAACACATACTCCCCCTATACACTATAAATACACACACACACATACATGCACCCTATACACATGCTCCCATACAACACCCATACACTCACCCTACACTATCCACACACATTCCAATACAGCAACCATACACAGTATGGTGTCTGTGTTGGGCCTGCTTGCTATATCACACAATGAGTCTGCAGAGAGGCCCAGTTTCAGATAGAGCAGCTCTGATGTATGATCCACCATGAGCAGCCTGACACACACACACACACAATGAACTATCGTACTGACCACTGACAAATATAGCAGGCTTCTGGGATTTCGTAACACACACAGAACAACGTAGTAGTAGACAGTGAAAGACAAACCAACAAAGACAAACTCATACATCTAGTCCCCAGTGTGAATGTGCATGCGTGTGTGTATATGCTTGTGTGTGTGTTTGAGAGAGAGTGATGGAAGGCATTCCTTGCCCAGTCTAACCAATGTGCAGACTACTGTACACCAGTAAGACCCTGAACAGGTAGTCTGAACACTGGGACGACGGAACAGGACTCTCCTCTCCTCCTTTATTTCTCCCTTCCTTTCTCTTTCCTTTTTTCTCCGTCCAAGGTGTTGAAGTAGGTGGTGGAGTAGAAAGATGTCTCCTCTGCTCTCTCTACTTTTTATCTTTCTTCTTCTCTCCTTCCTTTCTGTTCTCTCGTTTTTCACCCGTCCAAAGTTTTGGTTGACAAACTAGGTAAAAGATTCTCATTGTCTCCTCTCCTTTCTCGTCCTGAGTGAAGGGTGAGGGGTCACACGCACGCATGTGTGCACACACACTGGCTGTCCCCTTCTATGGGTCTGGGTCCTGTTCTGGTCGCAGCCCGGTGTGTGTGTGTCAGGTCCTTGTGTGTGTGTGTCGGGGGTCCGAGGGGCTGCGTCCGAGCGAGCAGAGTATCCAGCCTCGACGTGGCACATTCACTTTCAGCACTGGGGATCTGCCAGTGCACTTAGGGAAGGCATAACGAATAAAGGGAGAGAAGAAGGGAGAGAGGGAGGGACTGAGGCGCCATATATGGGTTGATGGGACCCTTGGGAATCAACTTTGGAGTGGTCTGCAGTTTCTCTCCCCTTCTCTCTCTCTCTCTCTCTTTCTATCTCTATCTCTTTCTCTAGATACCTCTCTCCCACTCATCTCAGTCAAAACTCACCTCCACTCCTCCGTCTGTCCTCCCTCTCTTCAATCTCTCCTCTATTTATTTTCTCCATTGGAATCCTCTCTCTCAGATCTCTCTTTCTCCTCTCTCTCTCTCTCAAGCAGTACCAGATGTTGTCGTCTGTCGACGCGCCAGCTTCGTTCGATAGTTGGTTTCTGCCTCTCTAACAGGAAGTGGGCCCCTCTGGAAAAAATAGAAAAAGAAATGAAGGAAGAAAGTTGCGGGGTTCAGGAGAGTCCAACACACACACACACCCAAGTGTTTGTGAGACAGACGTGCACCTTTACGTCTATTTATTTTTCTGGGTAGGCCATACCTACATCTCTCCTTTTCTCTTTCTCCATCATCCCCCTTCTCTCCATCTCTCCTTCTGTCCCTCCTCTCCTCCCTCTCTCCGCTGTACTGTAACTGTAGCCGTTTCCTGAGGCTGGTAGTGGCAGGTAGCCTAGCGGTTAAGAGAGATGGGCCAGTACCCGAAAGGTTGCTGGTTTCGAATCCCAGAGACGACTGGGTGAAAGATCGGTCAATGTGCCCTTGAGCACGGCACTTAACCTTAATCGCTCCAGGGTCGTCGTCAATGATGGCTGATCCCTGGCTGTGACCCCACTGTCTCAGGGGGAATGGATATGCAACAAAACAAAAATCCAATACACGTGTGAAATAGGACAAATGTAAGCACCCACCTAATTATTATTATTATTAAAAGTGGGAGCAGGGTGGAGGAGCGAGGGGTAGCAGGGTGGAGGAGAAAAATGGGGGAGAAGGGTGGAGGTGAGGTGAGGAGAGGAATGTTTTGTTTTAGAGCTTCACTCTAGAGTAATGACTTTCACATGTGGGCCTGCTTCTCCCCCCCCCCCCCCCCCCCCCCCCCCCGTCTCTCTCTCGCTCTCTCTCCTTCTATTTCTCTCTCCTCTATTTTTTTCCCTGTTTTTACAATTTGTCTCTCATTATCTTTCACTCCCTCCATTCTTTTCCACTATCCCCATATTTTCTCTCATTCTCTCTGCTTTGCTTCATTTCTCCAACTGTTTTCTTTCGTTCAAAATGTGTAGTGGTGATGACAGTGTAAACTAATGCCCTCCCCCCAAACACACACACACACACACACACATCCCTGTAAAGTAGAAAAGTCTAATCCCCTTATTTATCCTAGCTAGCTCTGTTTCTGTTTCTCTGCGGTTTCCATCATAGAGAGGAATGTTAACAAATCAATGAGACTCCACCCATGTTATACTAGAGCAGGCCTATTCAGTTATTGCTTTTCTTTCGTTTTACATTTTCTCTACATGCTGTTTGTGCTTTCACCAGATCAGTAGACCCATCAATGAATGATCCCTTCTTACATCTCCTTACGTCTCCATCCTTCCCCCACTCACTTTCTCTCTCCCTCCATCCCGATCCCGATTCCACCTCAGGAGAAGAGAAGAAGTACATGTTACCGTTGGACAACTTGAAGCTGAGAGACGTGGAGAAGAGCTTCAGGTCCAGTAAACATGCCTACGCCATCTTCAACACCGAACGGAGGTGTGTGAGTGTGTGTTGAAGTGGTGTTATGTGAGACTAGTGTATGACAGGCATATCTGAAAGAGATTGGGGGGAGAGAGGTTGAGGAGACAAGGAGACACCCGGTCTCTGTGACCTCCTCACTGACTGACTGACAGAGAGAGAGATGGAGTGGGTTAGGATGAGGTGGGCTGGGCAAGCTAGGGCTGAGCTGGGTGGGACCTGGTTCGTGTGTGTGTGTGGACCGCAGCATACCGAGGGCAGGCTCATTAAGCAGCTAATCAAAGCCAGAGTTATGGACCAGAGATGAGGCAGCTCTTGTTAGGAAACTATTTAACTGCTCGCCACAAGAAGGAGGGAAAGAAAGAGGGCTGGATGGGGTGAGAGTGGGGAGAGCGATCAGTCAAGAATGTGTCAAAGCGTGTCCTACTGCGCCCCTTGTTCCCCCTTCTCTCTGTGTGTGTTTGCGTGTGCATGATTTGTGTCCACAGTCCTGATCCCAATGCTCTGGTTGTCCCTGTCTGGCAGTAATCAGAACCTTTAGGAAAGTCCCTGATCTAAAAGCAGGGAAAGAGGGAGGGAGAAAGGAAAAAGGGAGAAATGGATCCATGCTAAAATTCCTCAAGAGGAGAGAAAAGCTCACTATCCCTGGCCACAGCGGAACAGAGCGAGAAAAGAGAGAGGAAAAGGGGGATGTGAGTGACTGGTTACAATCCAGCCATTGTAAAGCAGTAAGAGAGAGGGGGGGGGGAGTGAGAGCCTCCTACTGGCCCCCCTAACTAACACTAACCCTTCTGGCTGTCCGACCAACACCATCTCCAGCAGCATCTGGTCTCCCATCCACAGATCAACCAGGCCCAGCCCTACTTAGCCTACAGACAGAGGAGATCTCATGAGATATGTGGTCAGGCTGCTATCCAGAACACTCAGACAGCTTTAGATTGGAGACAGACAAATATACTGCGAACACACACCCGCACCACCAACAATACCAGTTTAGAAAACATGAGAGAGGGAGAAACAAAAGGACAGGAACACAGAGTGATTAAAGAGAATGTTTAACAGATGTGTGTGTGGTGTGTTTAACAGATGGGTTTTAGACCGCTCCAGATTCCTGCGTCTGTTAGACGCAGCGGGGTCTCCCTGACAGAGAGAGAGAGGGAAAGAGAGAGAGAGAGGGGGGGGGGGGGTGATGAATAATGTGAGGGGAAAAAGAAGCTCTGTGGATGAGTGAGTTTAGTTATTCATTGTGTGTGAATGTGTGTGTTCCAGCTGTGATAGCATGCCCTGTGTGAGACCTATGGTGTAGTCGTGTGTATGCATATGGCATGCAACCTCAAACCTGGAGAGGAAGGTGACTGCTTCATTGTATCTGTTATAATTGTTGGAACCTATATAAGGACTAGAGGTTCCTGGACTAGAGGTTCCTGGACTGCTGGCTGGGTGATGTAGTTTGATGAGGTAGCTGACAGTATGCAATGTAATTGTAGGAACGTGTATAAGGACTACAGGTTCCTGGAGCTGGCGTTTGGCTCTCAGGAGGAGGTAGACAGCTGGAAAGCTTCTCTGCTGAGAGCCGGAGTCTATCCTGAGAAAGTCACTGTGAGTACCTCCTGACCCTAACTCTAAACCTGACTCTAACCTCTAACCCTAAAACCATAATCTATAAAGTAACTGTGAATATCCTAACCCTGACCCCTTACCTCGAACCCTGACCCTAACTATAACCTACACCTGCCCTTATTCTCAGCCTGGCTACCCTTCACCTCTCCCCTCCTCTCTCCTACCTCGTTCCCCCATACTACCCCCTCCCCTTGCCTTCTGTCGTTGGCTGCTCACAGGTTCCCATCCTAAACAGTTCGGAACACATTGTGTGTGAATGTGTGTGTTCCAGCTCTGATAGCATTCCCTGTGTGAGACCTATGGTGTAGTTGGGCAACGGTGTCTAGATGAAATTTGTATTTGTGGTCCTGGCAACCTGACCTTTTTTGGAACACCATTATTTTTGTCTTCCTGAGATTTACTGTCAGGGCCCATGTCTGACAGAATCTGTGCAGAAGATCTAGGTGCTGCTGTAGGCCCTCCTTGGTTGGGGACAGGAGCCCCAGATCATCAGCAAACAGTAGACATTTGACTTCAGATTCTAGTAGGGTGAGGCCAGGTGCTGCAGACTGTTCTAGTGCCCTCACCAATTCTGTGATATATCTTTTGAAGAGGGTGGTGCTCAAGCTGCATCTCAGTCTCACCCCATGGCCCTGTGATTTTTTTGTTGTTGTTGTTGCCAATTTTATCTGCACACTTGTTTGTGTACTTGGATTTTATAATGTTGTATGTGTTTCCCCCAACACCACTTTCCATCAATTTGTATAGCAGACCCACATGCCAAATTGAGTCAAAAGCTTTTTTGAAATCGACAAAGCATGAGAATACTTTGTTTTTGTTTTTTTGCCAATTAGGGTGAATATGTGGTCTGTCGTATGGTAATTTGGTAAAAAGACAATTTGACATTTGCTCAGTACATTGTTTTCACTGAGGAAATGTACTAGTAATGCAGAGGATTTTCCAAAGGTTGCTGTTGATGCATATCCCACGGTAGTTATTGGGGTCGAATTTGTCTCCACTTTTGTGGATTGCGGTGATCATCCTCAGTTCTGGCATCTTCCCCAATATTTGGAACCAAGGACTGATCACCCCAATCCACAAAAGTGGAGAGGAGGATGATGTTAAAAAGTTTAAGTATAGCCAACTGGAATTTGTGGTCTGTATATTTTATCATTTCATTTAGGATACCATCAACACCAAAGGATTTTTTGGGTTGGAGGGTTTGTATTTTGTCCTGTAGTTTATTTAATGTAATTGGAGAATACAGTGGGTTCTGGTAGTCTTTAATAGTTGATTCTAGGATTTGTATTTGATATGTATATGAGCACATGTGACAGACGTGACAGAGTCTGGAGACGCCGTGGAGAACATTCTGCTGCCTGCAACATCCTCCAGCATGACCGGTTTGGCGGTGGGTCAGTCATGGTGTGGGGTGGCATTTCTTTGGGGGGCCGCACAGCCCTCCATGTGCTCGCCAGAGGTAGCCTGACTGCCATTAGGTACCGAGATGAGATCCTCAGACCCCTTGTGAGACCATATGCTGGTGCGGTTGGCCCTGTGTTCCTCCTAATGCAAGACAATGCTAGACCTCATGTGGCTGGAGTGTGTCAGCAGTTCCTGCAAGAGGAAGGCATTGATGCTATGGACTGGCCCGCCCGTTCCCCAGACCTGAATCCAATTGAACACATCTGGGACATCATGTCTCGCTCCATCCACCAACGCCATGTTGCACCACAGACTATCCAGGAGTTGGCGGATGCTTTAGTCCAGGTCTGGGAGGAGATCCCTCAGGAGACCATCCGCCACCTCATCAGGAGCATGCCCAGGCGTTGTAGGGAGGTCATACAGGCACGTGGAGGCCACACACACTACTGAGCCTCATTTTGACTTGTTTTAAGGACATTACATCAAAGTTGGATCAGCCTGTAGTGTGGTTTTCCACTTTAATTTTGAGGGTGACTCCAAATCCAGACCTCCATGGGTTGATACATTTGATTTCCATTGATAATTTTTGTGTGATTTTGTTGCCAGCACCTTCAACTATGTAAAGAAAAAAGTATTTAATAAGATTATTTCATTCATTCAGATCTAGGATGTGTTATTTTAGTGTTCCCTTTATTTTTTTGAGCAGTGTATATAATCTCGCTCTCCTCCTTCCTCCCTCCATAGGTAAAGGAGTACATTAGTATTGACCTCCTGGTGCAGCTCTACTCTCTAACAGAGAAGTGTGTGTTGATGGATGAGTCTCCAGAGCAGGAGCAGATGAGAGAGGAGGTGCTGAGGACTCACTCTGCCTTGAAGGAGGCGCTGGCCATCATCGGAGACATCTCTACCTCCACCTGCTCCACTCCTCTACCTCCTCCTGTTTACTCCTCCTGGCTGCATGGAGCCCCTGGGACCAGCCGCAGGTAACACACACCATAACTCTAACCCTCTTCCCCCAGGTCTCCCAGTCCTACAGCTCTAGCGCCTAAGCGTATAGCCGCTGCTCCCAGAGCCCCGCCCTCCACCAGAGGCCCCGCCCTTATGACCCCACCAGTCCCCCTCCCGTGCTGCACCTCATCCTCATGGACCAACCAGCAACAACGCTGATGCCAACTAGTCTCCACCAGGCGGACTTATCAGACCACCCCCCAATGTACCCAGGTAACCATGACGATGATGTTCGGGGCAGCAGGTAGCCTAGCGGTTAGAGCGTTGGGCCGGTAACCTAAAGGTCACTAGTTCAATTCCCCGAGCTGACAAGGTGAAAAATCATGCCCTTGAGCAAGGCACTTAACCCTAATTGCTCCAGGGTCGCCGTTGATAATGGCAGACCCTGGCCATGACCCCATCCTCTGAGGATGTCTCGGGGAGTTGGGATATGCAAAAAACACACTTCAAATAGGACAAATATAAGCACCAACCTTATTAAACTTCATTTATTTGCAATTTGTTGGAATTCTCTAATGCTGTGGTACCTCAAGCACGCACACAGGCACGCATGCACACACACACAGCTAAACATTGGGCTGCAGATAGAGAGAGGTTATTTGAGCTGGGGTGGGGGTCTGTTGGAAAATGTGTTTTTCATTTATTTCCTATCAACCCCAGTTTACAGACCCTTTCTATTTCTCACCTCTATCTCGCTCCATCTCAACCTCACTTTCTCCTGGCATGGATTTGTTTGACTGCTTTCCATTTTTCCTAATGCAATCTCTCTCCCCGCTCCTCCACTTCTCTTCCTCCACTCATTCCTCCCCTGCTTTTGGGCTGTACATATTTTTTTTCTGCCTACTTTCCTCTCCAACCATTCTTTTGGGCCTCACCCATCATCCCGCTTTCCTTCTCAAGCCCCTCCCTAACTCTCCCTCCATAACTCACCCTCTCTTTTCCTCCAGAGTGCACACTATGCTTTAGGAGATCTATGGTGTATTGTTTTTTTGGTAAATAATTTATAGTACTGTAATACTTTAAAATACATCAGTATGTGTGTCCTGTATTAATGGTCTCTCCTCTCTGTCCCTCTCCAGGAGGCAACCCCCAGCTGTCCCCATGAAACAATCGCACTGACCCCTCCCCTCAACACAACCCTGCTTCTGATTGGACAACCCCATCATACAGCCTATATAATAATAATAATAATAATATCAATTATGTATTATTTTTCTCATTTTTTAAATGCCTTTAACTAATTTCCCAAATCCCAAACATACTTCTATCCCCTACATCCCAGACACTTGCATAGATCTGAAATGATTGGATAGGTGTAATCAATGTGTGATAATTCCTTCTAGTCTATCAGAGGGAAAGGTGGAGCTATCACCATATTGATAATTTCTACCCAATCCATGCAAGTGAAGGGCCATTCCAAACTCAAATATCCCACTACCATTTTGCCTGACTTTTACCCAGAGCCTGTCAATGAGCCATCTAATCTGTAATAGAGACCACTCCTCACCTTCTCTCCATCTTTGTTTCATTCCCTTTTTCCCTCCCCTTCTCTGGGGAATCCTCTGTAGTCGACTCCCCCAACCCGTCTGCTAGTGAGAACCAAGGTGGCCTTGTGACTGTTTTGTACATATGGTAATGTCTACAAATGTTGGAATGCGTGTGTGTTACCACGAGTGAGCTTTGTGTAAATATACAATTTTGTGTAAATACAAACAATATAAACCACTTTTTATGGTTTTAAACAAACAGGGTTTACATTTTCTTTGACTTGAAATAGGCTAGGAATGGTAAGCCTATTAGCTTCTTGTTGCACACTTTTGAGTCCTGCCGTGAGCCCCTTTACAGATGTATTTGATCTATCCATAAATGATCAAACAGATCTGACAATTTGATAATTCCACTCAGCGTGCCAAAAGAGGGGCAGAATCCTATCAAATATATAGCCACGCTTTTATCAGTATACAAAGCCATCCAGCAATGAAATGTCACCCTTTCATTTGCCAATAAATGTTACTACATTGCCTGAGGAAAGCAGAGGTCAAGTAGGGGAGTGCCTGGGGGAGAGAGGGACAATCCACTTGGCTGAACTCAGTCAATGATCAACTCACCATGGAGCAACAAGACTGACCACAGCCCTGGAACAAGACCAGCACCAACCATGTCAGGCCTGGGAAAGGCGATGTGAAGGTACTGCTGACATCAAGTGGATTTAGTACAGTACTGCATGCATGTAGCTCGTGTTTCCAAACAGCAACATTCTGACCTCAGGCAACAGTAACACAATCCACTGAATCAATTCATCACACCTGTAAAATAGCCCACTCAAGTTTTTATGAGTTAATGCCTGCATGACTTGAAAGTTTGCCCCCTTGTGAAGCTGAATAGCTTTAATTAAATAATTGCTACTTACCAATAAAATGAATAAATATAGCTAATACTACCATGATATGATAAACAAAATAACTTTATTATTCCAAAGCTGCATTTAACACCTGACCGTACAACAGGTTAAAATCATTACATTTACATTACATTTTAGTCATTTAGCAGACGCTCTTATCCAGAGCGACTTACAGGTAGTACAGGTTGAATATTTCCTATTTAATTCAACATGGTCGCAATCTACCATGCCTCAGAGCCCTTGGTTACTAGACACACATGTTTAGAAGTTGTATAAATTGTTTAAAAAAAAAGGTCCTTTCCTAGTGGTGGAATCTGAGCAAAGTGTCTTCAGTAGGCAGCAAAGAGCTTCAGTTCCCAGCTGAGAAATCCTCTTCTGTTAAAATAGGAGCAACAGCTTTCTATAAAGTGTTTTCAGGATGCCACTCATCCTACCAGTATGGTAGTTAAGGAGGACATTCCCTTACCGTCCTCCTTTACCCATCAATGGAGAAAGCGTGTTAGGTCCTCTCGTATCTCGGCTTCATCCCAGGGTCCCTGGATGTTATCTTTGTCACTCTGCAGTCGGATCAACAGTAGGGGACACAGCAGGGTCACAGTCCCCAACACTGCAGCCAACAGCACAGCCCCCCCAGGCCACAGAGAGCCAAGCCCCCCCACCCCACACACACCTACCAGCACACACACACCCCCAAACCCCCGCGGGGCACGGTCTCTCAGCCGCTGCAGCAGGCAAGGCCATAGGGCAAACACTAACAGGGCCCAGCAGAGCATGGTGAAGGTATGAAGGGAGGAGGGAGAGGAGGAAGAGTCCAGGCCACCGGAGGTGTGCAGGTCCCCGGGGAGGCGCGAGGCCAGGCAGACAGAGGCGAACAGGGCAGCGTTGAGAGAGAGGCTCCCAGGGGGAGAAGGTTGGGCGTAGGGGAAGGCCACCAGGTGGGCCAGCAGCATCAGGGCTGTCATGGCGTACACCGTGTCTGTACTGACTGACTCTGTTAACGTCCTGAGGACAGGAGAGAACCCAAAGGTGAAGGAGAGGAAGATGGAGGCACTCTGCAGGTCAGACCAACGTGTACGATGGTGGTTGTCTGAATCTCCCCGCGGAGCCAGTCCTTGGTAGAGTCCATAGCCCAGCAGGGCACAGAGCAGGCCGCTCCACAGCAGCGTGGAAGGGGAGAGCAGGCCCTGGAGGGAGAAGACGGGTTAGACTTTATGGACCTAATGTGGCACAGGAGTGAATGAATGTATTTCCCATTAAAGTGCACTACTTTTGACTACAGCCCTAGCTATGTGACTAACACTACAGTCGTGGTCAAAAGTTTTGAGAATGACACAAATATTAATTTTCACAAAGTCTGCTGCTTCAGTTTTGATGATGGCAATTTGCATATACTCCAGAATGTCATGTAGAGTGATCAGATGAATTGCAAAGTCCATCTGTGTCATGAAAATGAACTTAATCCCCCAAAAAAACATTTCCACTGCATTTCAGCCCTGCCACAAAAGGACCAGCTGACATCATGTCGACGAGGACAAGGCTGGAGATCACTCTGTCATGCTGATTGAGTTAGAATAACAGACTGGAAGCTTTAAAACGAGGGTGGTGCTTGAAATCATTGTTCTTCCTCTGTTAACTATGGTTACCTGCAAGGAAACATGCAGTCATCATTGCTTTACACAAAAAGGGCTTCACAGGCAAGGATATTGCTGCTAGTAAGATTGCACCTAAATCAACAATTTTTCGGATCGTCAAGAACTTCAAGGAGAGAGGTTCAATTGTTGTGAAGAAGGCGTCAGGGCGCCCAAGAAAGTCCAGCAAGCGCCAGGACCGTCTCCTAAAGTTGATTCAGCTGCGGGATCGGCGCACCACCAGTGCAGAGCTTGCTCAGGAATGGCAGCAGGCAGGTGTGAGTGCATCTGCACGCACAGTGAGGCGAAGACTTTTGGAGGATGTCCTGGTGTCAAGAAGGGCAGCAAAGAAGCCACTTCTCTCCAGGAAAAACATCAGGGACAGACTGATATTCTGCAAAAGATACAGGGATTGGACTGCTGAGGACTGGGGTAAAGTCATTTTCTCTGATGAATCCCCTTTCCGATTGTTTGGGGCATCCGGAAAACACCTTGTCCGGGAAAGACAAGGTGAGCGCTACCATCAGTCCTGTGTCATGCCAACAGTAAAGCATCCTGAGACCATTCATGTGTGGGGTTGCTTCTCAACCAAGGGAGCGGGCTCACTCACAATTTTGCCTAAGAACACAGCCATGAATAAAGAATGGTACCAACACATCCTCCGAGAGCAACTTCTCCCAACCATCCAAGAACAGTTTGGTGATGACCAATGCCTTTTCCAGCATGATGGAGCACCTTGCCATAAGGCAAAAGTGATAACTAAGTGGCTCTGGGAACAAAACATCTACATTTTGGGTCCATGGCCAGGAAACTTCCCAGACCTTAATCCCATTGAGAACTTGTGGTCGATCCTCAAGAGGCGGGTGGACAAACAAAACCCCACAAATTCTGACAAACTCCAAGCATTGATTATGCAAGAATGGGCTGCCATCAGTCAGGATGTGGCCCAGAAGTTAATTGACAGCATGCCAGGGCGGATTGCAGAGGTCTTGAAAAAGAAGGGTCAACACTGCAAATATTGACTCTGCATAAACTTAATGTAATTGTCAATAAAAGCCTTTGACACTTATGGAATGCTTGTAATTATACTTCAGTGTACCATAGTAACATCTGACAAAAATATATCATAACACTGAAGCAGCGAACTTTGTGAAGACCAATAATTGTGTCATTCTCAAATATACGACTGTATATTGCCCTGGTCAAAACATTAGTGCACTATGTGGAGAATAGGGTGTCATTAGAGCTTCACCCTAAGGTATCTTACCTGCTCCATGTACAACCAGAGAGTGAGGAACAGAGCCACACAGGTGATCTGCTGAGACACCAGTCCTGCCTCCCGCACCACGGCCCAGTAGCGATATTGGCGGAGGCCCTCGTTCCTCCTGAGCTCCTCCAGGAAGCGGCGGTCCACATAGTTATCAGGAAAGGGCTGACGTTCCCATAGAACTTTCCTCCAGGGCACCGCTGGGCCTGGGGCTGCCCCTGACCCACTGTCTGCCCCCATCAACTGGACACACACACCATAACCATAGGCAAATTATGAATCACATAGATCACAACTAGTACACTACATGACCAAAAGTATGTGGACACCTGCTTGTCGAACATCTCATTCCAAAATTATGAGCATTAATATGGAGTTGGTTCCCCCTTTGCTGCTATAACAGCCTCCACTCTTCTGGGAAGGCTTTCCACTAGATGTTGGAACATTGCTGCAGGGACTTGCTTCCATTCAGCTACAAGAGCATTAGTGAGGTCGGGCACTGATGTTGGGCAATTAGGCCTGGCTCACAGTCGGTGTTACAATTCATCCCAAAGGTGTTTGATGGGGTTGAAGTCAGGGCTCTGTGCAGGCCAGTCAAGTTCTTCCACAACGGTCTTGACAAACGTTTTCTGTATGGTCTTCACTTTGTGCATGTGAGCATTGTCACGCTGAAACAGGAAAGGGCGTTCCCCAAACTGTTGCCACAAAGTTGGAAGCACAGAATTGTCTAGAATGTCACTGTATACTGTAGCATTATGATTTCCCTTCACTGGTAAAAAGGGGCCTAGCCCGAACCATGAAAAACAGCCCCAGACCATTATTCCTCCTCCACCAAACTTGACAGTTGGCACTATGTATTGGGGCAGGTAGCGTTCTCCTGGCATCTGCCAAACTCAGATTCGTCCGTCGGATTGCTAGATGGTGAAACGTGATCACTCCAGAGAATGCGTTTCCACTGCTGCAGAGTCCAATGGTGGTGGGCTTTACACCACTCCAGCCAACGCTTGGCATTGCGCATGGTGAGCTTAGGCTTGTGTGCGGCTGCTTGGTCGTGGAAACCCATTTCATGAAGCTCCCAACGAACAGTTATTGTGCTGACATTGCTTCCAGGGGCAGTTTGGAACGATTTTTACGCGCTTCAGCGGTCCTGTTCTGTGAGCTTGTGTGGCCTTCCACTTCGCGGCTGAGCCGTTGTTGCTCCTAGACGTTTTCACTTCACAATAACAGCACTTACAGTTGACCGGGGTAACTCTAGCAGGGCAGAAAGTTGATGAACTGACTTGTTGGAAAGGTGGCATCCTATGACGGTGAAAGTCACTGAGCTCTTCAGTAAGGTCATTCTACTGCCAATGTTTGTCTATGGAGATTGCATGGCTGTGTGCTCGATTTTATACACCTGTCAGCAACGGGTATAGCCAAATCCACTAATTTGAAGGGGTGTCCACATACCTTTATATATATATATATATATATATATATATATATATATAGTGTATATTATTCATCATAAACTGGGTGGTTCGAGCCCTGAATGCTGATTGGCTGACAGCCGTGGTATATCAGACTGTATACCACAGGTATGACAAAACATGTATTTTTACTGCTCTAATTACGTTGGTAGCCAGTTTATAATAGCAATAAGGCACCTCGGGGGGTTTGTGATACATCGCCAATATACCATAGCTAAGGGCTGTTTCCAGGCACTCCGTGTTGCGTCGGCCTAAGAACAGCCCTTAGCCGTGGTATATTGGCCATATACCACACCTCCTCGGGCCTTATTGCTTAACTATACTACTCCAGCCAGCAACCACACATTGATCATGATATAGACAGAGGCCTTGTTCGACAGGATGAAAACGGGTAATGTATCATGGGTAAATTGTGACTGACTGATCTACAAATAATCATGAGTAGTTAACGTTATTTATGGAAGGTGATTTGTAGATCAGTCAGTCACAATTTACCCATGATACATTACCCGTTTTCATCCTGTCGAACACGGCCTCTGTCTATATCATGATCAATGTGTGGTTGCTGGCTGGAATAGTATAGTTAAGCAATAAGGCGTGGTATATAGCCAATATACCACGGCTAAGGGCTGTTCTTAGGCCGTCGCAGAAGCCCACTATGATACTGATTACATAGTGTTTATCAGTCAAAACAAACAAACTACAGACATGGTTAGTGAAATTGGTGCCAACGTTTCAGAGCACATTATCACATAAAAATGTATGACAAGCACTGCCAGGCTTGTCTTGAAAGCGGATTATGGTTGTTAGCTAGCCAGTTAGCTAGCTAAAACGGCTAACGTAGCCGGCTTAGCTCTGATATTCTTGCTATTAGCTGTCATTCAACAGAACGATCCTGAAAAGATACCACAAACCCTGTTACAATTTCGTTATAACTACGCATTATTTCGATAAAAAAATAGATGTTCTGATTTTACCTGCGAGGGATAGAGCTGGACCCCTCTGAAATGGGCTAGAACACTAAGTACTTCCGGGTTACGGATTTTTGGAATACTTCAGAATAAGAGTCCCGTCCTGTATACTTTGTAAATGAAACATAAGGGCGAAAATTATGGATGATGTGCACAATTATCGATATTTTATTAGTTATAATAATTAAACGTATTTCTATGAGATGTGATTTATTCGTTTATTTCGTATTTTTTCAAGCCTAAATGGACAATGTTTATTGTGTGTACTCTTATAATTTATTGCACCATACACAATTTTCTGTACATAGTGTTGCAGTAAAAGGGGGTCTGTCGCTGCTCATTTTACGGTTCTTAAAGTGTGTTCAATCAGCTTAAATTCATCCAACTCTATGCACAAGGACTACTTTTAACAATTTCCACTGACATTTTTACAAAACCACATTTACTTGAAGAACAGTGCAGATGCAAAGTTTGGTAACAGACTGATGGCAAAAACAGCACAAACCGTCATTCTGTTACCAAACTTTGCATCAGTTGAAATGTTTTAATGTATTCCTTGTGCATAGTTTGTTTTTTTACTTTGCAATCATTGGTTTTTGTTTGACATACATTTTAAAGTGAAACATCAGTCTCATTATCACTCTGCTACTGTGGAATTTCCCATGTATTTTCTTCCCAGTCCCTTTCTGAACCATTTCCTCTTTCTCTGTCTCATCCCATCTGTCCATCATTCATCCCCCTAGCTCTTGTTATCTGCTCCCATCCCCATGCATCCCCTCTCAGGTTGTGTCCTCTGTGTATAGCAAATGTCTCCTGTCCGAGGGTGGAACAGTGCAGAGGGATACAACCTCTCTGCGAGCCCCTCCAGACCCCTCATAACAACACAAAGTCAGCTCCTCCTGAAGGTTAGTTTTTGCCCAAAACCAAAAGACATGTGGGTCAAATAAGTAGCATTATTTAATTTACACACCAATAGGCCTTATATGTATTTGTAAAAGCCGGATTTTATAAATTATTTCCTAGCTGTTAACAGTTCATGTTTTGTAGTGTGTGTGCTGATCACTGTTCTACCAGAACATGGCTAAGTGGCGCTACTCAACACAGCAGTCTGTAGAAAAGAAATAAGGCTCCTCTGATCCTAGATCTGTGCAACCTTTACCTAGGAGCAATGTCACATGAACAAATGCAGACTCCAAACCAGTCAAGTGAAAGACAACAACAAAAATTTATTTAGAAATTCACAGTTTCTAATGGCACTACATATTTGTAGTTACACTCTCGCTCCTGTTCCACAATACTGTGCAGCTCTTCCTCAGAGTGCTCACAGTGAGAGAGAAAGAAAGAAATAGAGAGGGAGGCATGGCCAGAAAGCACTTGACAGACAGGGTTTAGTGTAGAAAAACAAAAGGCATGAAGGTTGTAATAAAAACAAAGTGCACACTGAGCCTTGGGGGTCACCGAGGACCAATCTCTCTAGTCACTGTGTTAAATTAGGGCTTCGCTGAGTCTCTCACTCACACATCAAGAGAACACACAAACACTCTCGCATGCATACACACATACAATTATAATACCATACACATTAAAAAAAGGAAGCAAAACAAAGAAGAGGGTCATGATTCGCTGGGTATGGAACACTTGTTCAGATAAAACGCTGCGTTCCAAACCCTTTCCCAACATTCCCTTTATTCAATTAATAAGTTTGTCAGAATCCTCTGAAAACCACTACATGCCTACAAGGTGGGGTGAATGTACAGTATGAAAAATGTATGGCTCTGTCGTAGCCGGCCGCGACCGGGAGACCCATGGGGCGGCGCACAATTGGCCCAGCGTCGTCCAGGGTAGGGGAGGGAATGGCCAGCAGGGATGTAGCTCAGTTGGTAGAGCATGGCCTTTGCAACGCCAGGGTTGTGGGTTCGATTCCCACGTGGGGCCAGTATGAAAAATAAAAAATTAATAATGTATGCACTCACTAACTGTAAGTCGCTCTGGATAAGAGCGTCTGCTAAATGACAAAAATGAAAAAAATGTATGAACAACTAATGAATGAATGAATGAATGAATGGACAGCTAGTAAGGAAAGCAGAGGTGGCCAGTTAAAGGTGCTGTTCATGGTAACGGGAAGAGAAGTGGTTAAATTAAAACAGGTGCATTAAAAGAGCTCGTCACACTGTCTGGACCCTGACCTGTGTAGGGGTTAGAGGTCAGGGTGTGGAGAGGGTGGAGTAGGGGACCTGGGAGGCTGGTCTGTAGAGGGAGTGTGTAGTGTTTATATGGTTTATGGTATTAGTGATTCTTTTTCAGTCAGTCAACAACCAACCCAACTCAGAGGCCATCAGATCACACCCACAGACACACTATACACAGGCCTCCTACACATATAGTACAGACATGTGATTTTTCACATTTTGCCCTAAGCCGTGCCAATCATATCCATGCACAGACATATAGACACATACATACACACAAACAATGACTTCAAACATTTATTCTCTTTTAACTTCATCTTCCCAAAGGACTCTGAACAACAAAGGAAGCAGACCAACACCCTCTGACTTGTGAGGTGTGGCTGGTTCATATTGAATATTATTCAGTCTCATACGACCCAGCAACAGTTATTACTGGGGCTGATATAGTTACAGCCCTCTGTACCCTGATAGAGGTCTAGTTAAGAGAGGGGTGTGTGTGTGTGTGTGACAGTGGAGGTTACTCTGCAAACACCAGATGACCTAGCTATCTCTAAAATGACAGAAACATAAAAAAGGTGGACACCTTGTTGTCCCTATATATTTGTAAAAACAAATATTGGTCACAAAAGAGGTGAACACCTGCGCCAACATGTTAACTAGTGTGTCGGGCAGCCAGTGAAAATTACAGTATGTGACAGTACCATGGTATGTATGTACAACATATGTACATCAGAGGCTGGTGGGAGGAGCTATAGGAGGACGGGCTCTTTGTAATGGCTGGAATGGAATTATTGGAATGGAGTCAAACGTGGTTTATTTGTTTGATGTGTTTGATACCGTTCCATTAATTTTATTCCAGCCATTACAATCCTTTTACAGTCTTCCTATAGCTCCCCCCACCAGCCTCTTCTAATGTACATGTCCCTTTGTGTGTATGTGTTTTAATTGCAACCATTATTATTGTCTGTACCGTGTGTGTGTGTGTGTGTGTGTGTGTGTGTGTGCCCCCCTGGGCTACAGTATGTGGGGGTTGCTGTGAGGCCAGGACATAAATAAATAGATAAATAAAACTGGCCTCACAGCGTCCTCGACAGGACCGCAGGGAATCGGCTCTGTTCCAAGGTCAGTATATTGCATTGTTGATTCAAATGGTGAACATTAGGAATTGGGGGAGGGAAATATGACCTTAGATCAGTAACTAAAGGCAACTTCTACCCACATAGTGAGGGTGTGGGCTCTAACACACTGTGACATCTTCAGACTGAACTGTTCCTAACAACAACCAGAATATCACACAACATTTAGTTCTCAGCTGGCTCATATACAGCTCAATATAAAAACACAACCCAACTAACTGACTGGGTTCTGGGTGCAGAGACTACCTGCCACAATGTCACAATGTGCAAAAACAACCAGCCTATAAAAAGTCCAGCAGCTAAGCCTCAAAGTTGAGGGGCATTGTGGACTTTGTGATAAAGTCACCAAATTTCACACACAGCTAGGACAAGTCCTAAGTAGTATTTTTTTTTATAGCTATAGTGCCATCACAGATGTTTTACATTACCACCCTGGCAGCCATTTCCAAAATGGCCACCAACCAGCTCCATGGGGCCATATTGGACAGGAGTCACATGGCCATATCTCCATAAATAATAGGTACATAAAGCCTAATGATGGCTTAAAATGTTTGAGGGGGTCTGGAGAACACAATAGAATGGCCCAAGAATGCCAGTTATATGTGATCTTTGAAATGTATGCAGAGATGTTGAAAATCTACCCAAATTACTGATTCTTGAATATACTTTATCCTCATTTTCAGTATTTTAACAGTACAAGATCCTTTTTCTCTTAACTGGCTGTGTGTGTGAGTGTGAGTGTGTGAGAGAAAGAGTGTGTGTGTGTGTGGTTGTGTGTGTAGTTCGGGCCCAGCCCATACTACCTTCAGAGGTCTTCCTGGAGAGACAAGCTGCTATGTAAACTAGTTAAATAGTTAGAGCTTCTTCCTTAGTATCACAGCTGGATAAACATGGGCTAGCCGCTAGAGACAGAGACATGAAAACACACACACACACACACACACACACACACACACACACACACACACAGGGTGTGTATCTTCATTCAGCTCTGCTGGTTGTGTTGTGTTAGGTTAGACTGCCTGAGAGAGGGAGACAGAGGGCCTGTGGTGTGTGAAGGGTTAACACCCTGGTCCCATATGAACAACAACTGCAGTAGTGTTAGCTAGCTCTGAACAATACACAGAGAATGAACAGAATGTGGAAATGGAGGACAAGAGAAAGAAGGAGGGAGGGATGGGTTAGAGAAGTAACTAGTCCTGCTGCACAATTCTCTCACTGCGACACATTTCATCCTTATAGCGTCATACTCTACTTTCACAGGCCCTAGGAGAGGCAGGGGACTCAGGTAGGAGCTCTACCCAGCCAGCCCTTCTCCTCTCTGGGAACAGGGCTGTAGTACAAGCCCCTGATGCCTAGGTCTTATGGAGAAATGTGCTTGTCCAGTAGAAACAGCTCACCCATGTTTGAATGTCTCTGTTTACCTATAACACTCCCCAGCATTACAGTTTTGCTCTCCGAAAAGAAAAATAACAATCCTTTGAGTTTATTATTATTTTTTTCCATCGGTGAAAGCTTTCGAATGGACAGTAAAGGCACATGACCGTTATGAGGTCTCTGATTGGTGGGGAGGGTGGCTGTTGATGGGCGACTAATGTCATGGTTTCCGGGTTCCACTGTGGGCCCGGGTGCTCATGGGAGATGTGGTTCAGAGATGTGGCCATTTTGGGGCGAGACAACATCCCTTCATACCTCCCTAACCAAGTCTACTACCAGGGTGTGTGTGTGTATATAAGAGTCCGTCTGAAGTGTGTGTTTGTGATCAGACATGTCCTGTGACGGCCGTGGCGCCTATTGTCCCCACGCTGATCTCCTTGTTTCCCTTGATCAGCTGCTGCAGGCTGGGCAGAGAGTTCACAGCCCCCCCTGTCTGTCTGGAGGATAACTGCAGCTCCAATTGACGAGACCGCTGACGCTTCGCTGATCTCTTCTTAGAGGGAGGGAGGGAGGGGAGGCAGAGCGGGATGGGGAGGGCAGCATGGCCGTTACACATGCTCGGGGGGGAGGAGAGGGGGGGGCCTCGCCTGATGTAGGACTCCTCAGAGTGTGTGGAGGAGCTACAGCTGCTGCTCTCTGAGGGGAAGCGGAGCTCCTTACAGGAGATGTCTTCTAAAGTTGGAGGGGGAGGAGGAGGAGTCACGGAGTGGGGGAGGCCATTGCATTCGAGTGCCCCGTTAGCCACCGGGGAAGAGGGAGCTGATAATGCTGCCTTCAGTTTACATCGTTTCTTCTGGAGAGAGAGAGAGAGAGAGGGAGGGATGGAGAGACTGATAAATAAAGAGTACAGGGCAAAGCTCAGAGATGTTTAAATATGTCAAGTCATGTTAACCACCTCTATACCAGACACACTGCACGGTTACAACCAAACTAGACAGACACCAAGCTCTCAAAGATAGATTTTGATTGTGTCTAAATATTTTGATCCAGTACTGTGCGAGGTTGTACACGCAGGACAGCACAAGGCAGGGGAAGGCAGGGACAGTGGGGAGAATGGCATTAAAAAGGATAGGTAGCTGACCAAACCTTAGTATCTCTATATAACTGGAGCAAAGCCATGTTATGCAGATTAAACCCTGACCCAATGATTACCAAATGGAGGGTAGCTGTCGGTCCCTCCTGGATCACAGCTTATGTCTGGATTGTGGATAAAAACAGGATGTCAGCTATTGGTGGGTTACAACTTTTAAACCACTGCCCAATCCTGCCCTGTGCCTGCTCCTACATCGCTCCGTAACAGTCGAGCCCTAGTGTCAGCAGAGAAATGGTTAACCCTACTAATTCAATGGAAATTGCCTGTAACTCTAGGATCAGCTTAACTCTCCCCAGACTATCCTTAACCATTAGGATGGGAGAACGCTAAACTAACCTTAGATCAGAGTCTAGGGCAGCGTTTCCCAAACTCGGTCCTCGGGACCGTTTTGGTTTGTGCCCTAACACTACACAGCTGATTCAAAGCTTGATGATTATTTGAATCAGCTGTGTAGTGCTAGGGCAAAAAACAAAACGTGCACCCATTGGGGTCCCGAGGACCGAGTTTGGGAAACCCTGGTCTAGGGGCAAGTTCACCCTACTCCACTGAGACCATAAGCGAACAAGATGGCTGCTGGGGCCACCGTACAACAGCAGTAGCAGACGGAGAGGAGAGCAGGGGACACTGTACCTTTTTCTCTGGTGAGAACCTTAAAGGTTCAACAATGTAAAGGTCGTCGGGGCCTACTGAACAGGGAGAGAACAGGGCCATGTTAATGATGGGATGGCATACAGGAACACACATGAAACAAGCAGCATGACACCACCTTGCAAGTAGTACTACTGATTACTATTAAAGTAGTATTACACACCCCTGATATACTATAGCCCAGAATAAAGGTTATAGCTACACTGAAGAGGTTATAGCTAGTAGGTAGCCTACATTGGGCCTACAAGTTAGTTTTCTCTAATTGTTGCTACTACTTGCAGTGGTCTACCAGAAGCAGCCAGGCCAAAGCATTGTGTTCTATGTATACTCTCATTCAGTTCAGCATCTGTATGGACACACAGCTGGCAATGACAGGCGCTCTGGCCCAACGGCAACACACACACACACACACACACACACACACACACACACACACACGTGAGAAAGAGAGAGAGAGGGAGATGAAGAGAGAGGAAAAGTGGGAGTATTATGTTCCATGGCTGTCTGAATGAAGGTCTTTATTCCTTCAGAGCAGGGTGTGCCCAGGCCATCCCACTGGGGTGTCTGTGCCTCCAGTACCCTACCATCCAGTACCCTTACAGCAGCTCACCAGCATGGTACAGCCAGCCAGCCCGGCAGTGCAGAGAGACCATGCATGGGCAGTGGGCAGAGCACCTAGTCATGCACAGCTGTTGCTCTGAGACAGTAGCAGGCCCAGTAATGTTGTGTATGATGGGGCTGGCATGGAAGGCTTTCTGAAGACTGTGGTGTCTAGTCTTTTAGTCTTAGCTCCTGAGCAGCAACAGGATGGACAGAGCAGCGATGTAGAAGAGAGGAAGGGTAGAGGAAAAGGTGTGTGCGTGTGTGTGTAAGAGAGAGGCCATGTGAGTGACTCAGTGTGTGTGTACACACGCTCACCTTCTGAAGTAGGAAACGTGAAGGACTTGGAGCGTACGAGAGGACACGATATCCTCCGCTTCAGACTCATATCATCATAGGAGGAGAAACACCTAAAACACACATGATATGATAGTACAGTTCTAAATCTATGGAACGACCCAGTCATTTGTTTGAAATATTCTGTTGCCATGCTGCCTGGCAACGTTCTTATCCCTTGCTTGCTAGCTAGCCAACTACGGCTAATTTACAGCAGAATAACAGCAAAGTAGCTGCATGTGTTTGTTTAAGCGGTTTTCTAGTGACATTTATTTGGATACATCCATAACAATGAGCTAATGATGTGCGATTTTGCCTGGCATAGAAAATGTGCTCTCTCATCAGGACACTGTTCAAAGGAGCTAGCCAACAACACAGCTAACACAATCACTTTAATTTCGTTTTGACCTGTTTTTCTATTGACATTTATTTGGATATATCCATAAAAATTATGCCGATTCATGATTTCGACTTAATGAGAAAAGATCTCCGTCTTGTCCTGACACAATCCTCAATAGGACAGTGGAGATTGAATTTCAGTATTGAAACAAGACAGCAAGATTTATACAAATCTCGGCTGTTGAAAACCAAATGCTAGTCTAAAAGAAAGGGGAGATCATGTCTAGCTGCTTTTTAACAGTGGAGATCAAGTTTATAAATTGCCTGGTTGGGCTGATGAAATTGTGGATTGTGCATTGAGATGGAACGGTAAATAGGCATTTCAACATCATAGCCGGTGGCAACTTGTGGAATAGACACCAGTTGGAACGCAGTTTTAACCAATCAGTATCCAGGATTGGACCCACCCATTGTATAAAAGGAAACATTAACTGGGCTAAGGGAAACACTATATCAGACCTAGAAAGCACCAACAATACTCTTATAAATAATATGGGGAGATCAGACAAAAAATGTGTGTTTGTGCATTTACCTCTTGGGGCTGGGGTAGTGGTTGACTGCGGTGTGTGTGTTGGCGCTCCGGCAGCACTGCAGGCAGAACACCAGGCCCAGACAGAGACACAGGACCAGAGACACCACCAGGTAACTCTGTCTGTCAGACACCTAGAAAACACACAGATACAAACATTCAGAGGAAACACAGAAACGTATCAGATCTGATTATTACATTTTGCAAGATGATTAAAATAGGCCAACATTCAATCTGATTTTAATAAATGTAGGTAGTATGACTGTGTGTGTGTGTACCTCTTTCTGTAACTGTGAGACAGTCATGGTGAGGTTGATCATCAGCTTGGTGACGTTCTCCAGTTGGCCCTGTAACATCTGGATTGACTCGGTCTGCCTCTGGTCCTGAGGGATCACACAACCAAGATGCAACGTTAATACAACCATTAGACAACCAACCTATCCCACAACAATCAGACCACCCAACCATACAACCTACACCAGTGTCTCCCAACTCCGGTCCTCCAGTACCCCCAACAGTACATATTTTTGTTGTAGCCCCGAACAAGCACACCTGACTCTACTTGTCAACTAATCATCAAGCCCTTGGCAAGTTAATTCAGGTGTTTTTGTCTGGACCTACAACAGAAATGTGTGCTGTTGAGGTTACTGGAGGACCGGAGTTGGGCTACACTGACCTACACTAAACCATATCTCAACCATCACTGAACTAGCTACACAATCATGACACAATCGCAACAACCATCCACAATAACCGCCCTGCAACCCAAACCAAGAAGCAACCGTTTGTAACGGACCTGTTCTTCAGCAATGCGGGAGGTGTTCTGTAGCTTGATGATGGTCTTGTTGAAGGCTCTCTGCATCTCCTCCATCTGCTTACGGTACCTAGAACACACAACAAGCTATTCAGAGCCCGAACAGGACGAGTAATATGGAGCAAGCTAGTAGGTACAGCTATTAGGTTAAAAAAGACACACACACAGCTCACACAAACACACAGCTCACACACACACACACAGCTCACACACACACACAGCTCACACACACACACACAGCTCTCACACACACACACAGCTCTCACACACACACAGCTTACCTCTGGCTGAGTTCCTCCAGGTATCTACTGCTGAGGGACATGTTCATCTCCAGGGCTTTGATCCTGTTGTTCAACCTCATGAACACACTCTCTTTCTGACTGGAGCCGTGCACGTTCACTCCTCCGTTCATCCCTCCATTCCCATTCCCTCCAACGTACTCCCCCGCGCTCTGCAGCTCAGCGTAGAAGTCCGTAGCTGTCCGGTGTAAATGTCCGTTAGCAGTCACCGGGACGCTAAGTAGCAGGTCCTCCACGGACTCTTCCCCACGTAGGTGTTCTGCTGGCTGGGGAGAGGAGTCGCCCTGCTCCCCCTGGCCCTGGAGGTCTCCACCTTCTGTCCCAGCCCTGGGTGTGTGTGGCTCTGTGTGTGTGTCGGGCTGGAGGGGCACAGGGAGTTCGGTGGGAGGGGGGATGTCTGCAGGTCTGGAGGCAGTGGGGAGGAGCTGGACTGGCTGTTCCTTCAGGGAGTGTGGAGGGAGGTCCATGGAGGCTGTCTCAGAGGTTGGGGGGTGGAGGGGGGGTAGTGGGGCTGGGGGTAGGGGTGGGGGTGCTGGCCTGCTGGGTCTCTGGGACAGGGGCTCCCTGCAGGGCTGGAGGGGGGACAGGGTCGTTTTGGCTGGGGGACTGGGGAGCTTCGTCCTGGGTAGGGGTGGGTTTGGAGAGGGAGGTGTGAGAGAAGCTGTGGGGGGGCAGGGTAGAGGTCCGGCTAGGCTCCAGCACAATGATGGGGTCCACAGGGTGTGTGTCTGTGTGATCGTGTGAGTCTGTAGGTGGTAGCCCCTCGTTTTGGGCCTGGGGGGCAGTCTCAGGATCAGGGACCGGCTCTGTGTGTGTTAGGGCTTCCTGGGTGTGTGTGGGGGCGGGGACAGGGTCCTGTATGGGTGTGTGTGTATGTAAGGGAGTGTCTATGGGGGTGTGTGTGTGTAAGGGAGTGTCTATGGGGGTGTGTGTGTATTTGTCTTGCTTCCTCTTGATGAGACTGCGCCGTCTCTCTCTGGCGAGGCGAGCATTACACCAGCGCCGTAGCAGCTCTGGCAGCGTGGCCACACAGGAGATAGAAGAGAGGGAAGAGACAGAGGAGAGAGGACAGTACAGCTGGCTCTCCCTCATCCACTGTTCCTCTCTCTTCTCCTCCTCATTATCATCCCCCTCTTCCTCCATCAGAGTGACAGTGGACTGTGGAGGCTCCTCCTCCTCCACCACCAGAGTCACGATCTGTCCATCCTCCGGGGAGGGGGGAGATAGGGGGGAGTCCAGGGAGGAGAGGGCGAGCTCAGGGTCCTCCTGGGGAGCGGGGTGGTCTGGCTCCACACTGAGAGAGAGAGAAGGAGAGAGGGAAGTCAGAAACTCTTACTGCAAGGTGAGTGAGTGAGAGTGAGTGAATGAGTGACTCACGCTGGAGGAGGGGTGGTGGTGGTAGGGGTTGGGGTGAGCAGCACCTCCTTATTCCCCTCGGTTTCATTCTGGGCTTCTGATGATGCATTGGCTGGAAGAGATACACACACACACACAGCAGGCTTTAGATACAGTCATCAACTACCACATAATTACATAGAACATATATCCCTATGTCAACTACTACATTAACTTCCCTTCATAGGGTAACAAACTATCACTAGCCTTCTAGCCAACTCTGTTGTTGCCCAGTTCAGTGGGTTAAAATGGGAAACAGAGACAGACCGCCAACATCTATGTTTGGAGTAACGACCACAAGAGAGTTGGCAAAAACAGAAACAAACAGTCAAACCTTAGCTACCCTGTGGGTTGAAAAAGGGTTTAACAAACAGCCCATAATAAGTCACCTCAGCTGCCTCAATGTAGCCCATAGTGAAGGGTGTGTAAAGGTTTGTGAGGATGTGTGAGTGTGTTTGCCATTGGGACCAGGGGGTAAATCAGAGTGTAGAGTAGTGTTCAGACTCCAGCAGTATCTGAGGATAAGATTGGGACCAGAGGTTGTTGCAACTACGTCATGGACCCCCCAGTCCTAATAGAGCCAGCTCCCCAGCTGCTGCTGCTTTATAAAACACTGAGATCCATTGTTCCTCTGAAAACATCCTGCCAGCAGTCCAATCAACATCTGGAGCCTCAGGCAGGCAGGCAGGCATATACGTAAAGAAGCATTCACTTGCAGACACACACACCAAACCGGAACTATATGACCCAGTTTCGGAACCGTCTAATCTAAACAAGATGGGTGAAGTTGGGCTCAGACTGAACTGTCCAGCAGGAAGGGAAGGAAGGATAGAAGGAGATGGCATAATAGGAAAACCGGTTGGGCAAGAGAAAGGAGGAAGAGACTAGCAAGACTGGCTGGGAAGGAAGTGTAACCAAAACTGGATCTACTGTTTGTGTCTGCCCCGAGGTCTGATGACATTTGGAATGTTCTGTTAATAGTCCAGTGTGTGTGTTTGTGTTTGCGCATGATCTGAACTCAAGCAACCCATATGGAAGTGTGTGTGTGTTTGGGTGTGACGTTTAAACGAAATTGGGATCGTTAACGTTTAGAAAGGGAGTTAACGTTTAAAAACGTTTAGTGAACTCCTGAGTGGCGCAGTGGTCTAAGGCACTGCATCGCAGTGCTAACTGTGCCACTAGAGATCCTGGTTCGTATCCAGGCTCTGTCGCAGCCGGCCGCGACCGGGAGACTCATGGGCGGCGCACAATTGGCCCAGCGTCGTCTAGAGTAGGGGAGGGAATGGCCGGCAGGGATGTAGCTCAGTTGATAGAGCATGGCGTTTGCAACGCCAGGGTTGTGGGTTCGATTCCCACGGGGGGCCAGTATAAAAAAAATAAAAAATATGTAATCACTAACTGTAAGTCGCTCTGGATAAGAGCGTCTGCTAAAATGACTAAAAATGTAAAAAAAAAAATGTAGAAAAGAATCCCTAAAATCACCTTGCAGTTATCACAAAACTACCACTAACAGGTCCCGATCATCATCATAAACGGAAAAGTTAAAATTAAACAAAGACCTAACGCAACAATGCTGTAAAGGAGGAGATATGCATATTTTAAATTATTTGCCACGGATAAAAAATGGCAGAGCATGAGACAGGGAAACGACAGCAGCAAAGTCTGTATGGCAATACTTTAAGAAGTTAAAGCTGGAATCCTTAGTTGCAACATCCATTTTTGGACTTTTAAATTAATGACACATACCCATTGATTCTTGAAGACAATAACTTATAAATGCCTCATGAGCTTAGTTCAACTGTCATACCCCATCAGAACCCAAAATATAAGCTTGTTTTACTCCAATGATTGTAAACAATGTAAATGTAAACAAACCCTCTATACAACAAGATAACTCATAATGTAAAGCATATAGGTTATAGGTTGAGAGCTTTTGTGAAAGAGCACAGTTAGAAAGATATGGCAATAAGAAGCAAACCGGATGGACATCATGAAAATGATCAGAGAGGTTGAGGGTAGAGGAAGTTCCGGAGTAAAAACAAACAAAATATAATTATTGTAAAATTGACTGTGTCCATAAAATTTATATAGTATGTATAAGCTGGTAGTAGAGGCCTAAGCATTGTTGTTCACTAGTTTACTCCAATTAGGGAAGGGGTGGTGGGGTTGGAAAGTAATAAAATGAAATATATATATAAATAAATAAATAAATAAAATATATATATATATTTATTTGCGAGAAGAAAAAAAACATATGGGCGATTGGAAGTGATGCAGACAATTACATTGATGGAAGTTACAATCTATCTGCAATATTAAAGCTGATCTACCCCGTAAAAAATATTAAAATATAGCTACAAAAAGTGTATACTATGAATGGTCAAGTCCTTGCATCCATAGCTCTCTTTATGAATTTGAGAGTGAGGTAACCACTTTGTTATTGTTTTAATTAAGGATTCTACCTTTAAATGAGGTGGTGAAATGCAAACTTTGTGAGGGGTAATAGAGCTACAGTGGCAGTACAGGTGCAATGCTGAAAGGGACCCAACCCGTTGCTGGCAGCAGCGCGATAAGGGACAGGGTGAGAAAATCACAGCGCTGATTACAGAAATGATTGCAGTTGATATGCAGCCATTGTCAAATGGTAGAGGATGTCGTCTTTAATACCCTAACGGCATATCTAGAACAAAACTACAAGATCATGACGGCCCGGATGATGAAATTGTACGATTGCTCTGCAAGTACAAAGCGCAAACACGATACGTGGCGTTAACAACATAGTGTTGGATGTCTATGAACACGCTGTCACACATTACTGCAATGAGCAATCACATTGATGTACGGTACTGACAATTGAGATCATGGAGGAAAGGCACACAGCAGAGAACCTTAAATGGCATTAACTACTATCGTTGCCGAGTGGGTGGGGGACAGCAGTAAGGTGAGCGCCATCTGGGTAGGTAGTCAAGACTGTGGTAGATTGAACTGCATTGCCCCCTAGCGGTTATACGCATATCTGAATCATGAATTTACGTAGTTTTCAGATTTTTTCTTATTGTTTAAACAATAAAAACAATGGCAATTTAAACGTTAAGAAAATGTTTATATTGGTCACAGCCTAGTGTGTGTGTGTGTGTGTGTGTGTGTGAGAGCTGAACTCAAGCAACCCATATGGAAGTACACGTCAGATGTTACATAAGAACTTGTTGGCTTTTGACCAGTGTTGCCGACACATTTGGCTGCGTCGCTCAGACTAGATCAGTATGAAACTCATTTGTTGTTCTGTGTGGACAAGCCAGTTGGTTCTGTTTGAAAGTTTCCACTGGCTGTGTGTGTGTGGTTACTAAACGAGAACAAAGCAGGGTAGGATAACAGGGCTTGTTGTCTAAAAGAAGGAGAAAGAGTGAGAGGGCGAAGGCTAGATCGGTTCTTCTTAAACATTGTTGAATTCCAGAGCTTCTCTTCTGTGAGGGAAAGAGAGGGGCAGGCTAGTAAGTGCTGAGCCTCATAAAACCATGCTGGTTTAATTAAGACCTTTATTGTGTACAGAATACCTCTAATGTACACACTGGCGCATTCCCCTGGACAGCTCAGTGCTTTAGTTAGCACTAGATAAACCTTCCTCCATACATATGCAAACCTCATGCCTCTCGCTCCAAGAGGCGGTTACCGCAGCAAGTTATTTACACTATCTAACACATAGCATTTCCTCAAACACAACACACATTCTTAGCAATGAATAGGAGGTGGTGAAGGAAATGAGAGAAGAGAGAGAAGGGGAGGAGGGAAGAGAGGAAAGAGGAGGATCCATACGTTCCATCTGTGCTCCTCCTTCCTCAGGCTTGCCTCCCAGAACGTTGGCTGCTATGTTGTTGACCATGTTGAGAATGGCACCTGTAGGTAGAACACACACACAGAATCATGAATAACCTTATTCACTGGTAGTAAAGTAGCTGGTTGTGTAGAAATGTGTCAGTCTATTTTCTCAAAGCTGAACCAGTTGTGTGTATGACAATGTGTGTGTGTGTGAGGGGGTGGGGGGGGGGGGGGGCTCTTAGCCAATCAGATTGGAGCCTCAGTGCCCTGCCAGCTCCTCCCCCTTGTAGGCAGGGAGACACAGGGGCTCCAGTGTGAGTAGCAGAGTTATATACACGTCAGTCGCTAACCCAGTCGCTAACCCAGTCGCTAACCCGTATCCCAGCCACAGCTCTCTCTGTGTGTGTGAATGTGTGTGTGCCGTCATGTGGGAATACAGAAACTGAAGAAACATTCAGGACTTTGTTTTCCAGGAAAGCAGCTTCTTGTCTCTCCGTTTTCCAAGAAATACAGAGCCTGTTTTAAACCCAGTTCTGGAGATCAATTCTCTGATGTGATTAGATACAGTAGAGAACTGATGCTGAGCCAGTTAGATATCAAGTTACCCATGTTTATGCTGTCCGGTGCCATGTGAAACTATGCTCAGAACAATGTGGTGTGTGTGTGTGTTTGTATACATACTTGTGGCAGAGCCCAGCAGATTTTTAGAACCCTTGTCCTCAGAGTGGAGGTAGCCAGGTGGGTAGTCTGTAGATGAAAGAACCACATTATTTCAAGTTATTGAGAACAACATTCTCTTTTATAATAACAACATGACCAAGTATCACACACACAGTGTACCTTCTTACCATAGTCCTCATCAAGGTATTCTAGCCTCTCTGAGGGGTACTGGGAATCTGCGATCTCTTCATATTCCTCCACCATACTGGTACCAAACACCCTATAAACATACACATGGTTATATAACACACACACACACACAGCTTACATCTGGTTAAATGTATCATATACAGCTGAAAAGAGAATAATTATGCTTAGACTAACATGGACTTTGCCAGAAAGCTGACATGTGGATTGACATGTTGCTGAGATGACATACTGTTCCCTATAGTGTTGTTTTTGTACATGAAATCTATACAACTCACCCCTCTAACCTTATCGACTGAGATAATGTACACCTTAACATTTAGTTATTTAGTTTTTCTACAGAGTAGCAGCAGTTACGTGGATTTGAACGTTGGTCTAGTTAAAAGAAAACCATTTTTTATTATGTTTTACAGCTCCTGTCCTGGTCTCCACTCCTCGAGGGCATGAGGCAGGGGGAAGGTAGGAGGAGGGTAAGAGGCAAATCAGTACATATTACTCAATACTTTATTTGGCGTTCTTATTTTACCACAACCAACTCTCCCATAACCTTACAACCCTCCCTCTGCCCCCTCCTCCTAATCTCTTCTCTCTGCCCTGGTCTCCACTCCTCAAGGTTGGATGGGGGGAGGTAGTGAGTGGGAGGAGGTGGTGGTAAATCTGTAGTAATAGTGTTTTTTACAGCCCCCGCCTGTTAAACTCACCTAGCTTTGTTGTTGATGATTTACATTTACATTTTAGTCATTTAGCAGACGCTCTTATCCAGAGCGACTTACAGTAGTGAGTGCATACATTTTTTTCCCTCTTTTTTTTTTTCATACTGGCCCCCCGTGGGAATCGAACCCACAACCCTGGCGTTGCAAGCGCCATGCTCTACCAACTGAGCTACACGGGGCTACCTCTTACCTGTCCCTTGACCTCCCTGCTACCTCCTGTCCACTATCCTGGCCTCAACCCCTGGAGGGAATGGCAGGGAGTGTGGGTGATAGGAGGGTAAGGAGTAACTTAGTACATCCAACTCAGCAGAGGACAACAAGGCTACTGTACTGAGTTGAACTGGTTGTACTGTATGTTAAAGTGTTGTACTGCAACTGCAGGGACTTTAAGATCCTGCTTTCTCCTCTGCCATTGTTTGCAGCGACCTGAATACCCCATATGCTCTGTAAGAGGGAGGCTGTGCAGTGAGAGCTCAGTCTAAATGGTAGAGAGAGGGTCCTCTGAGGAGGGTCTCTGTTGGGTTCTGGCTGAGCTCCAGCTCCCCTATACAGCTTCAGGGAAGGAATGTCTCCATATAGAGCAGCGTATGGAAGACTTGCTGTAATACAGCCAAATAACCCGCTACACTGGGCCCCTTAACCTACAGACAGACATGAATAAGAGCATGCTGCCAAGACAGAGAGGGGGGAAAGAGAGAGAGGCGCACACACACAGAGAGAGGTGGAGAAAGAGAGAGTGAGAAAGAGGCAGAGAGCCAACATGGCAGAGAGACAAAACAACACATATTTCCTGGAAATCCTATAGAGCACAGAGACCATTACTGGAAAGCTGCTCAGCTTTCAGTACATCTCCGCATGATATGTGTTCTCTGGAATAACACTGATTTCACTACGCACTAGGGGCTAACATTATTGAAGGCAGTTTACTGGTTAAACAAATACACACCTCAATCAATGATGATAGTGGGCCTAACTAAAGTCCAAGTAAACCCACAGTCACTAGTAAGATAATAATGTATAGTGAGGGGTGAGAGCAGCTCTTTGGTGTTGTCTGAGTTAGAGGAAGTCCCATTTTCCCTACTGTGTTCGTTATATAGCACAGGAGGATGCTAAGGGGAGAACGGCTCATAATAATGGCCGGATCGGCGCAATGGAATGGCATCAAACACATGGAAACCATGTGTGCAGTATTTTATACCATTCCACCTTTTCTGCTCCAGCTATTACTACGAGCCCGTTCTCCCCAATTAAGGAGCCCCAACCTCCTGTGTTATATAGCCTTGTTGATAAACAACCCACCCTGAGGAAAACATTACTGTTCATTGTCTTCTATTGAAGTCTGGCTGTTAAAAATGAAATGACAGATTATCCCTGTCTCATTTCCTCCCTCTATATATATATATATAATCTCTTACCTGATGAGGCTGAGGGGACAGAAGTGCTCTGATCCAAAGTGGGAGATGAGCTCCACCTGCAGTCGAGGGGTGACGAAGGGTTAAACCACATCTAACACACTCACACCTGGTTAATTAAACCACCCAAACCAGCCCCACTTACATTCTAGTCATCCAATAGGTCTAAGCTAAATCATTCTAGTCATCCAATAGGTCTAAGCTAAATCATTCTAGTCATCCAATACGTCTAAGTTATACTGAACAAAAATATAAAATGCAACATTCAACAATTGTAAAGATTTTACTGAGTTACAGTTCATAAGAGGAAATCATACAATTGAAATAAATTAAATTAGGCCCTAATCTATGGATTTCACATGACTGGGAACACAGATATGCACCTGTTGGTCAAAGATACCTTACAAAAAAATGGGCATCACAATGGGTCTCGTCACGGTATTTCTGTGCATTCAAATTGCCATCGATAAAATGCAATTGTGTTCGTTGTCCGTAGCTTGTGCCTGCCCATACCATAAACCCACCACCACCATGGGGCACTCTGTTCACAACGTTGACGTCAGCAAACCGCTCGCCCACATGACGCCATTCACGTGGTCTGCGGTTGCGAGGCCGGTTGGATGTACTGCCAAATTCTCTAAAACAACGTTGGAGGCAGCTTATGGTAGAGAAATTAACATTCAATTCTCTGGCAACAGCTCTGATGGACATTCCCGCAGTCAGCATGCCAATTGAACGCTCCCTCAAAACTTGAGACATCTGTGGCATTGTGTTGTGTGACAAAACTGCACATTTTAGAGTGGCCTTTTATTGTCCCCAGCACAAGGTGCACCTGTGTAATGATCATGCTGTTTAACCAGCTTCTTGATATGCCACACCTGTCAGGTGGATGGATTATCTTGGCAAAGGAGAAATGCTCACTAACAGGGATGTAAACTAATTTGTGCACAACATTTGAGAGAAATAAGCTTTTTGTGAGTATGGAACATTTATGGGATCTTTTATTTCAGCTCATGAAACATAGCACCAACACTTTACATGTTGCGTTTATATTTTTGTTCAGTGAAAATATTTTTTGTCATCCAATACGTCTAAGCTAAATCATTCTAGTCATCCAACAATCAAATCTAAAAGGTGATGTGGAATTTGCCAAGCTCTATTGTAAGTTCTAAATGTGTCTTGGTCATGCATTACAGTATCTGTACACTGCCACCAAAGCTCCCCATTTTTATGGTACACTATAACGCATCATAGCGTATTACAACCTCTAAAAGAGAAGAAAGCTAACCTTTATGTACTTGATGAACATCTGATGCAAGAGGAAGAGAAGAGAGAAAAAAGGAGAGAAATCAGTAAAAAGGCTGATTCATGCCACAAGCAAGTCAAGCATCTGGTCCTTTTCTTTTGCATTCCCCCCCCGACAACACAACACACAGTATTCACAGACTAAAACGCTTGCTCTACAAAAGACTACAAGGCAAAGGCAATGAAAGGCAAGGTAAGGTATACAAAGGAATACAAGGTACACATAGCATTACAAGGGAATAAGGTATTATAATTATTAGGGGTGTAACGATTCGTTTTAACAACGATTCGATTTGTATCACGATTCGTGGTTGTCGATACGATTCAAGGACGATATTGGTTCATTTAGAACGATACGATCCGAAACGATTCAGTGACTTTTTAGCCAAAAATTCAACCAGTGTGACTGAAATAAATACCTGGATACTGGACAGTGCAGGTGAAGTTTCCTAGATTCCTGTTTCTTGTAAGGACCGCAATGGTGGCTTGATAATTTCTCGCTCGTCGGCTTCTCCTCTGTCGTCCGCCATGCTATGTTTTGTTGTCTTTGCGCCTTTGCGCTGCTGCTGGCGCGGGGCGATGACGTCACGGATAGGCAGACTGAATCGAGTAATGTTTAAAGCCTTTATCATTAAAAGTGCTAAGAAAAAACATCCATATAAAGTCTGACGTGCTTAAATCCAATGGGTTATTTCCTAGTATCGATACAATCGATTTATTACATTTTAAAACGATGTTAGATTGATATATGTTGTCCAAAAGGCCAACTCGCCGAGCACAGATCGATGTAGTTGGATCATAGGAATATAAATCGATACATCGATGTAGTAGATGGATCGTTACACCCCTAATAATTATTCATTGCAGTAACTTTAGAGGAGTAGAGAAGAGGTAGACAGACAGACAACCTAGACAGACAGACAGACAGACAGACAGACAGATATCAGAACAACAAGACATATCAGGTTGATAACAGCTTCAGTTCTTATTGAAACTAAGACAGCTGATAACCCTAAGACCTAGTCACACAGTACTTTGTGAAATCACAAAACAGTGGCATATTCAAAACGCATACAATTTACCCAACATCACATCAAATGCACCTGCATGAAAAATATTGTTATTTTAAACTATACCAAAAAACTATGAAAATACAATAACACTTAAAGCGTTAGATAAGATAATATAGTGAGGAGGAGTAGAGTTGAACGACTATAATATAGTACATACTTCCCCATAGTATTTGTACTGTATTTATTACACACAGAAGTAGAAAAGGAAGCTGAAATACATCCTCAGAATATACATCCTCACACACAGTCACACACGCACAGAAGCATATTGTGTGAGGTATGAGTAGGGAGTCAGTCAGTCTCATGTTGATGACATAGGAAACTGACCATGAAGTCATGAGGAATCCCCCTGGGCATAGAACATAGAAGACAAATGGTGTGTGTCTGCAGTGTGTGTGTGTGTGTCTGCAGTGTGTGTGTGTGTCTGCAGTGTGTGTGTGTATGTGTCTGCAGTTTGTGTGTGTGTGTCTGCAGTTTGTGTGTGTGTGTTTTGGTTGGTTCTTCTATCCTTGTGGGGACCTAAAATCCCCCAAAGCCCACAAGGATAGTAAAACAAGGAAAAATCTCCCTTGTGGGGACATTTCCCACATCCCCATGAGGACAAAGGCTATTTTAAGCTTAGGGATTCGGGTTAGGGTTACAATTAGGGTTAGGGTAAAGGGTTAGTGGTTAGGTTTAGTGTTACGTGTTAAGGTTAGGGTTATGGTAAGGAATAGATTTAGGTTTAGGGAAAATAGGATTTTGAATGGAAATAAATGTTAGGTCCCCACCAGGATAGAAGAACATAACATGTGTGTGAGTGTGTGTAAATGTCGGTGTGTACCTTGACGTATTTGGCATAGAGCTGTTCGTCCAATGGGAAGCTCTGGACGGTGCGCTCATCACGGGCGTGGAACGTTCCCAACTTCACCCACTTGTTGGTGGGATACCTGAGAGAGAGAGAGAGAGAGAGAGGGGGTGGTCAGAGTGGTGTATGTGTGTCCTGAGGAAAACAGGAAAGGAAAGGAGATATCTAGTCAGTTGAAGAACTGAATGCATTCAACCGAAATGTGTCTTCCACATTTAACCCAGGAGAGGGTGTTCGTACCTGTCGCTGATGGAGACCAGGAAGTCTTTCGGCGTGGAGGAGAAGAGTTCAAAGTTAGCGATGTCCAACTGTTTCACCTGGATGGGCTCACACAGCTCTATTACAAACCTAGAGAGGGAGCGAGAGAGGGGTGGGGGAGAGAGGAAGAGAGAGGGGTGGGGGAGAGAGGAAGAGAGAAAGAGAGAGGGGTGGGGGAGACAGGGAGAGAGAGGGGTGGGGGAGAGAGGAAGAGAGAGGGGTGGGGAGAGGGGTGAGGGAGACGGGGAGAGAGGAAGAGAGAGGGATGGGGGAGAGGGGGAGAGAGAGTTAGAAGAGACATGATAACGTGAGAGAACTTTCAGCTCTGTCAAATATCATCCTCTCCCCTTCACATTTGCCTGGGAAGATGGTTGGCAGTTGGGGTCAGACGTGCTGAGCTGACAAGGGGACTTGTGTATGCTTTTGGGGGACAAAGTGTTGTCACCCTGCAGCTTCACAGAGAGCAGACAGGAGAGTGGAGGGGGGGAAGAGAGAGAGAGAGAGCAGACAACTGTTCACAAAATTAGAAAGTAGGTGTGTGTGTCTCACCAAATCTTGTTGCTGCAGGGGTTCAGCATGTACAGGTCCATATTCTCCATGAGGATAGCTGAGGTACTCTGGAAACGAGGGATGAGAGGAGGAGAGAGAGAATGGCATGGCAAATATGAGTCCATGGACTGACTGTTACTATCCTATGAACATAATACTTCATGTGTTGTGTGTGTGAGTGTGTTACCTTGGCCTCGGTGTTAGCTGACAGTATCTTAGCTCCACACTCCACAGAAGCATAGTTGTTTTTAAAGTTCTTCTGCACCTTCTTCACAGGGGGGCTTCCACTGGAGGAGGTATGGAGGGACAGCGCTGGAGAAGAGAGAAAAGGGGGTTACGAGATGTGTGTGAGTGTTTGTGTGCGCGCACGCTTGTTAAGGGAACTCATTCATTCATTTTATTTATTTACAGTGAGGAAAAAAAGTATTTAGTCAGCCATAAATTGTGCAAGTTCTCCCACTTAAAAAGATGAGAGAGGCCTGTAATTTTCATCATAGGTACACGTCAACTATGACAGACAAAATGAGAAAAGAAATTCTAGAAAATCACATTGTAGGATTTTTAATGTATTTATTTGCAAATTATGCTGGAAAATAAGTATTTGGTCAATAACAAAAGTTTCTCAATACTTTGTTATATACCCTTTGTTGGCAATGACACAGGTCAAATGTTTTCTGTAAGTCTTCACAAGGTTTTCACACACTGTTGCTGGTATTTTGGCCCATTCCTCCATGCAGATCTCCTCTAGAGCAGTGATGTTTTGGGGCTGTCGCTGGGCAACATAGACTTTCAACTCCCTCCAAAGATTTTCTATGGGGTTGAGATCTGGAGACTGGCTAGGCCACTCCAGGACCTTGAAATGCTTCTTACGAAGCCACTCCTTCGTTGCCCGGGCGGTGTGTTTGGGATCATTGTCATGCTGAAAGACCCAGCCACGTTTCATCTTCAATGCCCTTGCTGATGGAAGGAGGTTTTCACTCAAAATCTCACGATACATGGCCCCATTCATTCTTTCCTTTACACGGATCAGTCGTCCTGGTCCCTTTGCAGAAAAACAGCCCCAAAGCATGATGTTTCCACCCCCATGCTTCACAGTAGGTATGGTGTTCTTTGGATGCAACTCAGCATTCTTTGTCCTCCAAACACGACGAGTTGAGTTTTTACCAAAAAGTTTCATCTGACCATTAGACATTCTCCCAATCCTCTTCTGGATCATCCAAATGCACTCTAGCAAACTTCAGACGGCCTGGACATGTACTGGCTTAAGCAGGGGGAACACGTCTGGCACTGCAGGATTTGAGTCGCTGGCGGCGTAGTGTGTTACTGATGGTAGGCTTTGTTACTTTGGTCCCAGCTCTCTGCAGGTCATTCACTAGGTCCCCCCGTGTGGTTCTGGGATTTTTGCTCACCGTTCTTGTGATCATTTTGACCCCACGGGGTGAGATCTTGCGTGGAGCCCCAGATCGAGGGAGATTATCAGTGGTCTTGTATGTCTTCCATTTCCTAATAATTGCTCCCACAGTTGATTTCTTCAAACCAAGCTGCTTACCAGAGGGTAGTGCGTACGGCCCAGTACATCACTGGGGCAAAGCTTCCTGCCATCCAGGACCTCTATACCAGGCGGTGTCAGAGGAAGGCCCTCAAAATTGTCAAAGACTCCAGCCACCCTAGTCATAGACTGTTCTCTCTGCTACCGCACGGCAAGCGGTACCGGAGTGCCAAGTCTAGGTCCAAAAGACTTCTCAACAGCTTCTACCCCCAAGCCATAAGACTCCTGAACAGCTAATCATGGCTACCCGGACTATTTGCACTGCCCCCCCACCCCATCCTTTTTACGCTGCTGCTACTCTGTTAAGTATTTATGCATAGTCACTTTAACTCTACCCACATGTACATATTACCTCAACTACCTCAACTAGCCGGTGCCCCCGCACATTGACTCTGCAACGGTACCCCCCTGTATATATAGCCTCCCTACTGTCACTATTTTACTTCTGCTCTTTTTTTTCTCAACACTTTTTTTGTTGTTTTATTTTTACTTTTTTTGTTTAAAATAAATGCACTGTTGGTTAAGGGCTATAAGTAAGCATTTCACTGTAATGTCTGCACCTGTTGTATTCGGCGCATGTGACCAATAAAATTTGATTTTATTTGATTTTATTTGACCTATTGCAGATTCAGGTGTCCTTTGACAGCTCTTTGGTCTTGGCCATAGTGGAGTTTGGAGTGTGACTGTTTGAGGTTGTGGACAGGTGTCTTTTATACTGATAACAAGTTCAAACAGGTGCCATTAATACAGGTAACGAGTGGAGGACAGAGGAGCCTCTTAAAGAAGAAGTTACAGGTCTGTGAGAGCCAGAAATCTTGCTTGTTTGTAGGTGACCAAATACTTATTTTCCACCATAATTTGCAAATAAATTCATAAAAAATCCTACAATGTGATTTTCTGGATTTTTTCCCCTCAATTTGTCTGTCATAGTTGACGTGTACCTATGATGAAAATTACAGGCCTCTCTCATCTTTTTAAGTGGGAGAACTTGCACAATTGGTGGCTGACTAAATACTTTTTTCCCCCACTGTAGCTAGAATAGTCCGCTCAGTAACAAATGCCACAGATTTCCAGGGAGTCCTGGGAAAACTGGGTCATCTTAATGTAGATAACACATAATCATCCATGTAGATAAATATGTAGAGATAAGGTACAGTACCTGTCAGACATATCAGTAGCCTAGTCTGATTCCTGTAATCTATAGTTGCTATATCAGTAGCCTAGTCTGATTCCTATAATCTATAGTTGCTATATCAGTAGCCTGGTCTGATTCCTATAATCTATAGTTGCTATATCAGTAGCCTAGTCTGATTCCTGTAATCTATAGTTGCTATATCAGTAGCCTAGTCTGATTCCTATAATCTATAGTTGCTATATCAGTAGCCTGGTCTGATTCCTATAATCTATAGTTGCTATATCAGTAGCCTAGTCTGATTCCTGTAATCTATAGTTGCTATATCAGTAGCCTAGTCTGATTCCTATAATCTATAGTTGCTATATCAGTAGCCTAGTCTGATTCCTGTAATTTATAGTTGCTATATCAGTAGCCTAGTCTGATTCCTGTAATCTATAGTTGCTATATCAGTAGCCTAGTCTGATTCCTATAATCTATAGTTGCTATATCAGTAGCCTAATCTGATTCCTGTAATCTATAGTTGCTATATCAGTAGCCTGGTCTGATTCCTATAATCTATAGTTGCTATATCAGTAGCCTGGTCTGATTCCTATAATCTATAGTTGCTATATCAGTAGCCTAGTCTGATTCCTATAATCTATAGTTGCTATATCAGTAGCCTGGTCTGATTCCTATAATCTATAGTTGCTATATCAGTAGCCTGGTCTGATTCCTATAATCTATAGTTGCTATATCAGTAGCCTAGTCTGATTCCTATAATCTATAGTTGCTATTTCAGTAGCCTAGTCTGATTCCTATAATCTATAGTTGCTATTTCAGTAGCCTAGTCTGATTCCTATAATCTATAGTTGCTATATCAGTAGCCTGGTCTGATTCCTATAATCTATAGTTGCTATATCAGTAGCCTAGTCTGATTCCTATAATCTATAGTTGCTATATCAGTAGCCTGGTCTGATTCCTATAATCTATAGTTGCTATATCAGTAGCCTGGTCTGATTCCTATAATCTATAGTTGCTATATCAGTAGCCTGGTCTGATTCCTATAATCTATAGTTGCTATATCAGTAGCCTGGTCTGATTCCTATAATCTATAGTTGCTATATCAGTAGCCTAGTCTGATTCCTATAATCTATAGTTGCTATATCAGTAGCCTGGTCTGATTCCTATAATCTATAGTTGCTATATCAGTAGCCTGGTCTGATTCCTATAATCTATAGTTGCTATATCAGTAGCCTGGTCTGATTCCTATAATCTATAGTTGCTATATGTTATCAATGTGCAGGACAGGCTGAGACAGTATGTTGTACACCGTACGTGGTGTACCTTACATGCACAGAACTGATAGGTTGTTCTCAGAAATGAAAGAAACAATGATGCTGGCACATTACATGCACAGGTATGCATACACTCCACGACTCGCCCACACTCACACACACACACACACGCTAGCATTAACGTGGGACAGAGCAGGTTGGGTACACAGCAGCCATGTTTGGAACAGGGGCATTCATTAATATTTGACCAAATACAACCTTTTCAAATATCAATAACTTAAACATAGACAGTTCAGTCAGTGTTTTCCTGTGTTTATGAGAAAACTCCAGATGAAATCACTAATTGTACTATTCAGAACTCATCTTGGATTATGTGCCATCGTCACCCCATGTCTAAAAATGTGACTGTTGTTTGGGTGGGTTTCTGGGCTAGGAAAATGCTCCCCCGTCTGTCTGTCTGAAGGTGAAGCTGAGGACAGGAGATCTACATAAGGTCCAGTTTCTAGCTCAGCGGGTCATAAAACAATGGGTTAACTCACTCTGCCACGCTGTCTATGATCTAACAGTGTGTGGGTACCCATGGGTGTAATCTGGGAGCATTTGTATGTGTGTGAGTGCACGTGGCCTGCTCAAGTGTGTGTTGAGTTTGAGAGTGTAAGTGTGAACTGTCTGTGTGTCCTTCTGCTCCTGTAGACCGGGCCATTAGTGGTGGTGGAGGAGTGCTGCCTCAGAGGACAGAGAGTGAGAGATTACGCAACACACACACACACTGAAATCCCCATAACTCCCTCAGTCAGAGAGGGAGATGCAAGAATGAAAGGCAAGGGAGAGAAACTATGACAGATACAGAGAGAAAGAATGGAAGGAAGCAAGGAGACGGAGGGAAGGAGGGAAGAGAGAGAATAATAATAACAATATGCCATTTAGCAGACACTTTTATCCAAAGCGACTTAGTCATGCGTGCATACATTTTTACGTATGGGTAGGGGGGGAGGAGGGGGAGAGTGAGGGAGGGAGTTGAAAGGAGGACAGAGATTTACATGTGAGGCCTCTGCACTAATTTGTCTGAAAAATTACTGTAGGGAACAGCATCCCTTCTTCACGATATTAACGAGGGGAACGTGTGCCTGTGTGTGTTTCTTACTCTTCTCCTTCTCCACCTCCATGACTTGTTTCTTCCACTCGTCGAAGGTTGGGATGTCCTCCTTACTGGGCACTGACGGGTCCGTCTCCCTACTGCTGGCATCACTGGCATCCACTGCCTCATCCACTGCCTCATCCACTGCCTCATCCACGGCCTTGACAGGTATAGAGACACACGTTACACACACACACACACACACATACACGTTACACACACAAGCAGTGAGCTGTAATTGATTTATTACATTATTCCTTTATAAGACCCCAGAACGGTCGACAAAGCCACCAACCGACAAAGCCTCCTAGCCAATCCAGTTCAGCTTTGTCTGTCTGCAGCCAATCCGGTTGGAAAACAGACCAGCTCTGTACCAATACTGGCTAGGACAGGGCTTCTCTCATTCTCTCTCACTCACTCACTCCACTCTCCCTCTCTCTCTACAGTAGGAGAAAGGCAGAGGGTGCAGAGGGTTCATTTATTGAATGAAACATTAATGAAGCAGCTCTTTGCGTGGACTGGAAGCCAAACCATGTGTAGCCCCAGTCCTCAACGTTCACACGCAAACCTCTACACCCCTCATTACACTTACAGTCAGTCAGTGTCAGAAATAACAGTCTACTATCTAGAACATTACCAGGGTGGGGACTAGGTTGTGGGACTCCCTCTCACCTGCTGGTCTTGGTCTGTGTCTTGGTGCCTGTGGGAGGTGTTTCCCCCCTGGTCCAGCTCTGGTAGACCCTGGTCTGGGTCTTCTGGGCTGAGAGACATCTGGACATCAGCATCAGAACCTGGAGCAACCTGACCCTGTTCTGACTGGCTCTCTACAGAGTCACCATCACCACTATGGAGAGAGGGAGAGAGAAGAAGGAGAGGGAGGGGAGGAGAGAGAGAGGGAGGGGAGGAGAGAAGAGAGGGAGGGAGGGGAAGAGAGAAGAGAGGGAGGGGAGGAGAGAAGAGAGGGAGGGGAGGAGAGAAGAGAGGGAGGGGAGGAGAGAAGAGAGGGAGGGGAGGAGAGAAGAGAGGGAGTAGAGGGGATGAAGGGAGAAAAAAACTAAACATTGAATGCAGTCTGGATGCACCCAAACTAAATATTTTCTTTCAATAACATTCCCTCCGTTCATTTGTTCCATGCCATCAACAGTGTGTTTGTCCGTAATGATCAACACAGCAGATGAAGAAAATAAGAAAATAATAAAAACCAAAATAAAAGACAAATAAAGGAGAACAAGGCCAGCGGTCGTTGTTTGAGTGTAGCAGAGAGGAGTGTCTGGCATCTGATTGGTTACCTGTATGGTTGTTTACCTGTTTCTGCTTTCTGATTGGTTCAATTCAAACTCTGTACTCACCTCGTGGGCGGGCTGCCAAAAGGAGGGGTTTGGGTTGCCAGGTTGTGGGGAATCATCCCACACTGAGAGCCAGAGAGATCAGCAAAAACATTGCCCTCTAGAGAGGAATTAGATCCAGCACTGGCAACCTCTAAAGAGGGATCAGCTTCAGCACTGGCAACCTCTACAGGGGGATCCTCTACTGCGGGATCAGATCTGGCAACCTCTATTGAACTGAGGGAAAGAAAGGACACGCCATTTATGGAAGAGCCCCTAGGAGGGAGGAAGAGGGAGAGAGGGCGACAGAGGACAGATGGGGTGGGGAGGAGAGAAGGCGAAAGAGAGGGATGGGGGAGAGAGAGAGAAGGGGATGTGGTTGGGTGGGTCTTTGGAATGGTAAGCCTCCTCCAGTCCAGGCTGTGGTGAGTCAAATGTTCGTTGTAAAAGGCAAGTGTCCACATCTCGGTAGCCATTTTGAGAAGGTCCGACAAAGAGAGCACTAAACTAGCCAGTAAACCTCCCGTCAGAACCATCCAAGGATCCAATGACACCTGATCCGATCAGGAGTGGCAATCCCCATCTGTCCAGAGGTCCAGTTTAGCAGACAATCAACATCTCCACTTATTCCCACCATGTTTCAAGTCCAGTCCAAGTTTTAGTCCAGGTCCAGTTAGGTTTATTGAGGAAGGAACCAGTGTACAAAGTTAACTGTAGGTTTACAGTAGCAACCTGTGTATAGAAAGGGGAAGCGGGGGCCCCCAAGATTGGGACTAAAAACTTATGTCAAGTCAATAAAAAAACTATCAATATACGAAAAATTTAAAACGAATGCAGCTGAAAGGGAATATCAGTTAGATAACTGGATGTACATCACAGTGGTAGACTGAATGACGCCTCTTACGATACAATAAATACTTTATTGATCCCAAGGACAAAAATAGTCTTGGACACATAATTCTGCTGTATAAACAGACATAACATCTCATACACAGTCCTCATCTTACCTGGCTGGGGCTGGAGCAGGGATGTGAGAGGTAGAGGTAGGTGTGTGTTGGAGGTCTTCTGTAGTGGGGGCTGGGCTGGGGTCTGCCAGGGCATCACTGGGGGTCTCGACTGGGGCTGGGGGGGCTGTGGAGGCTTGTCCCTGGGTTGGGTCATCGCTGGGCGGTGGGGTGGAGGAGGAGGAGGAGGAGGGTGGAGGTGCCTGGTCCTGGAGGGGAGGGGGTTGTGTATTGGGCTCTGGGTCTGTGTGGGTGTGGGTGTGAGGGTGTGTGTTGTGTGAGTGTGGCTCAGCAGCAGTGGGGGATTCAGGATCAGGGTGTGGTTCTGGGGCAGACCAGAGCTCCACCACTACAGGCTCCTCCTGATTCACAGTCTGGAAAACACACACCAATTCAATTCTCATTGTGCGTGTGTGTGTGTGTGTGTGTGTGTGTGTGTGTGTGTGTGTGTGTGTTACCTGTTCAGTGTTGTGTGTGTTGGGTTCCTCTAGTGCAGCCCTCTTTGTCTCCAGTCCCACGTCGTAGGAGGAGTGTGTGCGTGTCCCCGACTCCTCCTCCACCTAGGGAACAGTCACACACATCGTTAGAACACGCACACGTAGAAGAGGAAGGTTGAGGTCCACAGAAACTACTGTAAACTTACTGCGTAAGACATGACAGATCATGATAAAGTGTCTGAGGAACACCAGAAACACAGGAATTAGCATCTCAGGTTGAGAAACAGTACTTTGTTAGACTGAGGGATAGAACAAAAGACTGTTCTATAAGGGACTGACAGCATGCCTGTTTGCTATGGACACACACACACAGAGAATAGGCCAGCTCGCAGCAGACCAGTTCATGCCCACGGAGGACTAAATCTGGGTTCACACAGCAGCCCTCCTCACCCTTCTCCCTCAGGCTGCTAGTTCCCAGCTGTGTGGATATGGGCTGAAACTGTTTAAGAGAGATTATAAACTGGGTGGTTTGAGCCCTGAATTCTGATTGGCTGAAGGCCTTGGTATATCAGACCGTATCCCACGGGTATGACAAAACATTTAGTTTTACTGCTCTAATTACGTTGGTAACCAGTTTATAATAGCAATAAGGCACCTCGGGGTTGGTGATATATGGCCAATATACCAAGGCTAAGGACTGTGTCCAGGCTCTCAGCGTTGCGTTGTGCATAAGAACAGCCCTTAGCCGTGGTATATTGGCCATATACCACACCTCCTCTGGCTTTATTGCTTAATTAGTCTTAAAGTGGCTAATGCTGTAAAGAGAAACACTGAGTGAGGACAGTGAGGCATAGTGGGGGCCTGGGGGGAAAGTCTATTTAAGCAATAAGGCCCGGGGGGGGGGGGGTGTCATACCCGTGGTATATACCACGGCTGTTAGCCAATCAGCATTCAGGGCTCGAACCACCCAGTTTATAATGCACAATAACAACCAATTGTAAGTCTTACATAACAACCCCCCCCTCCCCCCCCCTCCCCCTTCTTCTTTCCTCACCTCTAGCCAGAGGTTAAGAATATATACGGCCCCACACACACTCACCCCCCACCTCTCTCTCTACCTGGGTGAACTCCCACACTCAGTACGGCCTCTCCCTTACCCGTCTTTTACCATGGGTCATGTATGGCCCCATTAACACCCCTGTCCCCCTCCCCTCTTAACTCATGGCTTTGTAGGGTAGGAAAATACATGCTTTAGATGGCTCACGGCGCAAATAAACAACTGTTCAACTCTGGTCTTTTAAAAAATTGATTTCACCTTTATTTAACCAGGTAAGCCAGTTGAGAACAAGTTCACATTTACAACTGCGACCTGGCCAAGATAAAGCAAAGCAGTGCGATAAAAACAACACAGAGTTACATATGGGGTAAACAAAACATAAAGTCAAAAATACAACAGAAAATATATATACAGTGTGTGCGAATGTAGTAAATTATGGAGGTAAGGCAATAAATAGGCCATAGTGCAAAATAATTACAATTTCGTATTAACACTGGAATGATAGATGTGCAAAAGATGATGTGCAAATAGAGATCTAACATCATCATATGCCTGCTTTCTGTCTGAAAGCCCGTAGACACATACAGTAAGTCTGTAGTGGTTAATTAGCCTGATGGTCCAGTCTGTCTGTGCTTTAGCCAACTCCTCACCTTGTGGTCAGTCGTGTGGTACTGCTCATGGTGATACTCTGGGAGGCTGCTGTCTCCACTAGACACACCTGGACCTGACGAGCTGTGCTCTGAACAACACACATGACGACTGGGGTACCTGGAACACACATAAACACACACTCTGAACAACACACATGACGACTGGGGTACCAGTGGTTCAACATATGAACACGATCTCACGTTTTACAAGTGTCCTGTGTTTATAAGCCAGGTTCATCATTGTTGTTGCTATGCATCAGTAGACGTGTCCCTCACAGGGCCCACAGGTGAGGAAAGATTTTAGGTCTTACAGGAACAGGGCTGGGCTGTGTCTGCTGGACAAAGGGAGCACTGTACACTGAAGTAAAACCAAACTACTGTAGAACTGCCCTGCAGCCTGCAGATGCTTAAATCTGCCACTGGATTCCTTATTTGGTCTTAGTGCTAGAGAGTAAGCTGGGAAAGGTCTAATATTGCACCAGAGCACAAGAAGAAGAGAAACAGAGCAGTAAAAAAAGAGAAAAAGAGAGAAGTAGAGAAGGGTCTTTTTGTGTTTATCTTATCTGAGGGGTAAAGGCTGAGGAGACGAGGGAGGGTCCTCGGTGGTTTGTGTGTGTAGGGCTCAATGGACATGGGGCCTGCCTGAACAGGTTCACCTTTTTAATTAGCATTTAACATTTAAATGTTTGTTACATTTACATCATTTAGCAGACGCTCTTATCCAGAGCGACTTACAAATTGGTGCATTCAACTTATGATAGTTACGTGATGAACACTTTCTCCCGGCCTCTGTTTGAAGCCCAGTATGGATCTAAACAACACCTGGATGCTGCAATTGTCACCTCACACACACCCCTCTCTCTGAAACCTGAGAGCTTCAGCTTGACCACTCAAACATCAATGTCAGGTCAGAGCTGGACACATGCACATTGCACACACACACGTTAACACCCTGTCAACTGGCAAGTCTATAGTGGATCACTCACTCACACACGCGCTCACACGCACAGAGTATATAATATCAGTATGTAGAACATAGGTCTGTACATTCACTCTACTTACACTGACCTAGACTGACGAACACGGCCATTCTATATCCTCCTCCTCAACTACAGAACACATGATCCAGGCATCTAATCATCCAAGCCTCCAGTCCTGCTGGTGTTGCAATGAGGGCCTATTCATATAGCATCAACACCTTGTACATGCATACATCCAGCCCTCACCAGATCTATCATCCATTGGCAGAGAGATGTGATATGGCAGTGTGGGTAATGTGAGAGGCAGCATACAGATCCAGACCATAATATGAACCCTGCGGTGGATATAGCCATGGCTAAACTTCGAGCCATAGCTTTGAACTATGTATACATTCAAATGTCACATACGTGAGAGAGGGAGAATGGTTGATGTGCGACCAGGGGGTGTGGGTATACTGTAAGTTGCAGGCCTATAAGTAGGCAAAACAAATGTATTTTCACGATTTCAGTTATATCATCAAAATCGATTTGTGTCTTAAAATTAACCAAATCAAAAAGGGTAGTTTTTATGTTGAATAAATTAATGTGATTTTTATTTTATTTTTTTCAGGATCAAGACCTACTCCATATTTGACACCAAGATCTTGTGTGTATCATGTACGGTTCAGATCATAGGGTCTTACAGTAGGCATGTATAGGTCTAGAAAGGGCCTATAATGGCCACTTTCATCATGATTTTCTAGAAAGTGGTTTGTGATAGAAATGTAAAAAGCATTTCAAACATTCTTCCTCCCAATTAAGTTTTGTATGTGAGAATTGCTAGATCAATCTGAGATACCAAAAATATTTTCCGCTCCCGCTGCCGTGGAATCGCCCAAGAGTATCTGAGAAGTATGAGGAATAATGGCACAAATTCCACATAGCCAAATGGGGGTTGATTTTGAATTGGGCGTCAGCTCCCTTTTCCACTTTCTTCGAACCTACCGACTAGCAGAGTGAAATACCATGAAGTAACATCACCATGAGGGGGCTAGTAGTGGGTAGAAGGTCACCTTCGCCTTAAAAACTCATTGAACTGAAGGCTCTGCCATTTACACTGACATCGCCTTTAGCCATATAGCGACTAGACTTCTACACCAGCTACATAGGCCTATAAGCTAGGCTACACTTTTTGTTTTGACTAAACAGACTTCTGCCACGGTAAAGATAGAGGTGATGGCAGGAATGTTCATGTCACAACATGTCTGAGGAACTCCTGGACAGGAACCACAGAGATGATTGACAGCTTCTAGTCTGATTGTGAAGACACCTGACACCCGCATTACTTCAAAACTCCTCCACGCATAGACGCATGGTAGAAGTAGAAGTAAACTGTAGCTATATTTTGCATGCTACAGGAGTGAGAAACACTTCTGTGAATACAAAGTAGGAAGTTAGGACCCAGTTAGAAACGGCCCTTCCTGTCCCCTTCTTTAACGCTACTTGTAAAGAGAGCCGAGTGTTGACACATGAAAAAAGAGCCCAGTGTTGACACATTCCTACTCTTAGAGAAAGAAGAGAGTAGCAAAAAGGGAAGGAAAGTAGTCTAACCTTTGCTAGAAGGAGCAGCTTTGGGGGAGGAATGTATGTGACCTAGTTCTGTTAGTTATATAAGGACCCTGGGAGAGAGAGACAGAGAGAGAGAGAGGGAAGGGGGAAGCACAGGGAAAGAGTTGCAGGGTGAAGTTGCCCCTAGACGCTGATCTAGGGTCCGTTTAGCATTTTCCCCCACTAATGGTTACGTTTAGCATTGGGGAGGGAAAGATGATCTTCGATCCTATATCTAGGAGAAACTACACCCCGGAGCAGGGAGAGTGACACCAGAGAGGGGAGAGGAATGAGAGATAAAAGAGAGACCAGAGAGACCAGAGGGGGGAGCGAGAGGAGAAGAGGGATTTCTGTTCCTGTAGCCTGTCAATGTCGGTAAAGAGGGAAGAGCCTCAGGCATTACACTGACTCAGCACTTTTTCTAGCCTGTTTCTGCCATCTTTTTTTCTTCTCTCCATCTCCCTCTCTGTTTTCTACTCTTCACAGGGGGCCTAGCCAACAGGCAGATCTAAACCTTACCGCATCTCATACAGACAGAGAGCTTATGGTGGAGAGAACACACACAGTGGGGTCTGGAACTACTGCAGAACTGATCTGAAGCTACAGGACAGGTAATATGGTGAATGACCAGCTCCCACTAGGAATCTGTCCAGTTCAGTGCAGATGAAGGAGAGGAGGAGGAAGAGGAAGCTACTTTAGAGAGTATTGAGATGCAATAAGAGTTGATTTGGGATTGGACTCTGATAAACTCCTGGCCCCTAGTGTCACATTGGGACAAAAGACAGACACATCGTTTAGAGGGTTTGGCATCACAGTTGAGCAGACTCACTGCCTGTGAATCACTGCAGATAATCTGATCCAGAGCCCGATGCCAGGGGTGTTTTTCCCTGCTCGCCTCGATGCAGGGAGCAGGGCTGGCTAACAAATATTATCCCGTTCTCTCTCACTCTGTCAGTCTCCCTCTCTTTCCGTCTGTCTAATACACACACACACACACCAGTTAAGGCTATGTAATGGCCAGCCAAATCCCCTGATATTTCCTGTTGGGTTTAGGGCCACACAAAGGGCCAAAGGGACAGACAGGACTACAGGACCTATCCAACAGATTGCACTGAAAACACAGTGACACAAAAGCATGTGTCCACCATAACAATAGAGATTAAATAGGATGTGGAGGGAGGCTGAATCATTCTGCATTAAGATAACAATCCATGCTTTATTTGACCTCTCCTTATCCAGACTTTCCCACTCAACACCACATTTCTCTGACCCTGTCCAGTTAGGTGTGATCTAGTCAGGGACGGTGTTTGTCTGTGACTCACTGTTTCCTTTATAAATACTAACTAGACCTTTATTCCCAGCTCTGACCTGAATGATAAACCTGCCAGCGTGTCTGATGAAGGTGTAGGACCACTGCACTCCCTCGGTCGGCACACACACACACACACACACACACCTAGCTCACTGCATGACATTTGGTAGCCGGTAACTAACTCTGTGTGCCATCACGGCAGGTGCTGCTGACGGTTATGCAAGGCAGTCCCAGTAGCCTGGTGTAGCTCGGTGCAGGTCCTGCGTGGCCTAACTAGCTGCACACTAAAGACCTTAATCTGATAGCTCTTAATTAAGAGTGTTAAAATGACCCACAGCTAACTATAGCATGAAATATGTCAGGACTGCACATCAGGCCTTTCTACTCACAGCTAAGCTCATTACTACTGATACAACCACACCTATTCTCATTTAATAGGGTCAGCAGAGAAATAGAGAGTGAGAGAGAGAAGGGACTCACCAGTTAGCAGTTTATTTTTTAATTTCACCTTTATTTAACCAGGTAAGCCAGTTGAGAACAAGTTCTCATTTACAACTGCGACCTGGCCAAGATAAAGCAAAGCAGTGCGATAAAAAACAACAACACAGAGTTACATATGGGGTAAACAAAACAAAGTCAAAAATACAACAGAAAATCTATATACAGTGTGTGCAAATGTAGCAAGTAATGGAGGTAAGACAATAAATAGGCCATAGTGCAAAATAATTACAATTTACTATTAACACTGGAATGACAGATGTGCAAGAGATGATGTGCAAATAGAGATACTGGTGTGCAAATGAGCAAAATAAATAACAATATGGGGATGAGGTAGTTGGGTGGGCTAATTTCAGATGGGCTGTGTACAGGTCCAGTGATTGGTAAGGTGCTCTGACAACTGATGCTTAAAGTTAGTGAGGGAGTAAGAGTCTCCAGCTTCAGAGATTTTTGCAGTTCGTTTCAGTCATTGGCAGCAGAGAACTGGAAGGAATGGCGGCCTAAGGAGGTGTTGGCTTTGGGGATGACCAGTGAGATATACCTGTTGGAGCGCATACTATGGGTGGGTGTTGCAATGGTCACCAATGAGCTAAGATAAGGTGGGGATTTGCCTAGCAGTGATTTATAGATGACCTGGAGCCAGTGGGTTTGGCGACGAATATGTAGTGAGGACCAGCCAACAAGAGCGTACAGGTCACAGGGGTGGGTACTATATGGGGCTTTGGTGACAAAACGGATGGCACTGTGATAGACTACATCCAATTTGCTGAGTAGAGTGTTGGAGGCTATTTTGTAAATGACATCGCCGAAGTCAAGGATCGGTAGGATAGTCAGTTTTACGAGGGCATGTTTGGCAGCATGAGTGAAGGAGGCTTTGTTGCGAAATAGGAAGCCGATTCTAGATTTAACCTTGGATTGGAGATGCTTAATGTGAGTCTGGAAGGAGAGTTTACAGTCTAACCAGACACCTAGGTATTTGTAGTTGTCCACATACTCTAGGTCAGACCCGCCGAGAGTAGTGATTCTAGTCGGGTGGGCGGGTGCCAGCAGCGTTCGATTGAAGAGCATGCATTTAGTTTTACTAGTGTTTAAGAGCAGTTGGAGGCTACGGAAGGAGTGTTGTATGGCATTGAAGCTCGTTTGGAGGTTTGTTAACACAGTGTCCAATGAAGGGCCAGATGTATACAAAATGGTGTCGTAGATGGAGAAGGGGGAGAATAGCGAATCCATTAGCTGGCAGTGAGGGAGTTAGCAGAAAACAGTGTTCCTGTTATTTCAGGGTGTGGATGAAGTACATCATGGAGACAGACTGACTGAGTTCACTGGGTGGATGGTAACACTTTTTGGCCTGTAATGGGTTGGTTTATGTAGTGGGTTATGTTATGATGCTGCTGTAGGAGTTTTAAATGGGTTTTAAATGGCTGTAATCTGTTTTAGCTAATAGAAGAACCAGAACAACAGCAGCAGAACCATTCGGCCTCTAGAGCACTTCTGACGTCCAGGGCTCTAAAGCAAGACCATTTTGATCGCATATGCTCCTAAATATTTTGGTCTGCGACCTGAAATTTTAATATGGGAGCACCAGTGCGCCTAGAAAATCACCCAGATAATAATTGTTGTAATGATGAGATTTCGCTGTATCGTTGTTTCTCGAGCCCAGATTTGTTAGTGTCATGCTTGCACCATTAGTACAGCGAAAACAGTTAAAAAGATCTGACCCATATTACAGTTTTTCGCTCATTGGGAGGGTTGAATGTTTCATTCATAAACCATGTCGCGGGCCGTTCTAAAACTACATTTAACAGTAAGCTACAGTGGGGGAAAAAAGTATTTAGTCAGCCACCAATTGTGCAAGTTCTCCCACTTAAAAAGATGAGAGAGGCCTGTAATTTTCATCATAGGTTCACGTCAACTATGACAGACGAAAAATGATTTTTTATGAATTTATTTGCAAATTATGGTGGAAAATAAGTATTTGGTCAATAACAAAAGTTTCTCAATACTTTGTTATATACCCTTTGTTGGCAATGACACAGGTCAAACGTTTTCTGTAAGTCTTCACAAGGTTTTCACACACTGTTGCTGGTATTTTGGCCCATTCCTCCATGCAGATCTCCTCTAGAGCAGTGATGTTTTGGGGCTGTCGCTGGGCAACACAGACTTTCAACTCCCTCCAAAGATTTTCTATGGGGTTGAGATCTGGAGACTGGCTAGGCCACTCCAGGACCTTGAAATGCTTCTTACGAAGCCACCCCTTCGTTGCCCGGGCGGTGTGTTTGGGATCATTGTCATGCTGAAAGACCCAGCCACGTTTCATCTTCAATGCCCTTGCTGATGGAAGGAGGTTTTCACTCAAAATATCACGATACATGGCCCCATTCATTCTTTCCTTTACACGGATCAGTCGTCCTGGTCCCTTTGCAGAAAAACAGCCCCAAAGCATGAGGTTTCCACCCCTATGCTTCACAGTAGGTATGGTGTTCTTTGGATGCAACTCAGCATTCTTTGTCCTCCAAACACGACGAGTTGAGTTTTTACCAAAAAGTTCTATTTTGGTTTAATCTGACCATATGGCATTCTCCCAATCCTCTTCTGGATCATCCAAATGCACTCTTGCAAACTTCAGACGAGCATGGACATGTACTGGCTTAAGCAGGGGGACACGTCTGGCACTGCAGGATTTGAGTCCCTGGCGGCGTAGTGTGTCACTGATGGTAGGCTTTGTTACTTTGGTCCCAGCTCTCTGCAGGTCATTCACTAGGTCCCCCCGTGTGGTTCTGGGATTTTTGCTCACCGTTCTTGTGATCATTTTGACCCCACGGGGTGAGATCAAGGGAGATTATCAGTGGTCTTGTATGTCTTCCATTTCCTAATAATTGCTCCCACAGTTGATTTCTTCAAACCAAGCTGCTTACATATTGCAGATTCAGTCTTCCCAGCCTGGTGCAGGTCTACAATTTTGTTTCTGGTGTCCTTTGACAGCTCTTTGGTCTTGGCCATAGTGGAGTTTGGAGTGTGACTGTTTGAGGTTGTGGACAGGTGTCTTTTATACTGATAACAAGTTGAAACAGGTGCCATTAATACAGGTAACGAGTGGAGGACAGAGGAGCCTCTTAAAGAAGAAGTTGTTACAGGTCTGTGAGAGCCAGAAATCTTGCTTGTTTGTAGGTGACCAAATACTTATTTTCCACCATAATTTGCAAATAAATTCATAAAAAATCATACAATGTGATTTTCTGGAGAAAAAAAATCTCAATTTGTCAGTCATAGTTGACGTGTACCTATGATGAAAATTACAGGCCTCTCTCATCTTTTTAAGTGGGAGAACTTGCACAATTGGTGGCTGACTAAATACTTTTTTCCCCCAGATAATGAGAGGAAAAGGGACAGTTTCTTCAGGAGATCAATGTTCAATGTAATGCATCTCAATCAGGACCCCAGTATCCGGTCTGGAGCATGAAGTCATGAGCTCTGCTGGTCAGCTACTGCGTAGCAACCTAGCGTTACCAAAAGCCCTGGGTCCGTATCCACAAAGCGTCTCAGAGTAGGAGTGCTGATCTAGGATCAGTTTAGCCTTTTAGGTCATAATGAATCAGATTATATAGACAGATCCTAGATCAGCACACCTACTCTAAGACGCTTTGTGGATACGGGCCCTGGTCTGCCTTAGAAAGCATATGTAAATTCCGATCGGCAGAACGCCCCCCACTCCCCACCCCCCACCCAAAAAAAACGTATGCAGTATTGGCCTCTAAAATGTGTTTATTATGATCAACTTCGATCCCCACGGTGAATTAATTTTAAAGTTAGCTACAAATCGAGAAATGTAATTAAATTGTGATCAATTCTGACTACTACATTTGTCGTCACACAGGACCACGTGCCGACACAGACCAATCACGGGCCGGCAGGCTACGTGGAGGCTCCCGGTTGACTCTCAGGCAGGATGAAAATGACTAC